TTTCGTGTCATTTGGTTCATTCAAGGAACAAAATGAGCAAATTGCATTTGAGCTTATATAACTTAAACTTTGTAAAAAAAAATTTAAATGAGCGATCGTTTCGCTTGATAAGACCATTATTCATCGTCTGGAATCGTTTAAAGCCCTTTGAACAGTTTGCACTGAAACTGTATTTTGGACCTTGAACCATTTGGTGCCCAGTAAAGTCCATTATATGGAAAAAAAATCCTGCAATGTTTTCATCAAAAACCTTAATTTCTTTTTGACTGAAGAAAGAAAGATGTGGACATCTTGCATGACACGGGGGTGAGTAAATTATCAGCAAAAGTTTTTTTTTTAAAGTGAACTACCCCTTTAATTTACACGTTGGGATATGAACATGGTGGAATTGCACCCCGAGGATGGGGTTTTGTTTTCTCAATGCCCTATTGTAATGGTTTCAATTCTAAATGTTTCTCATTCTCTACTTTCAAATGGGCATTCCTGCTTTTGATCTTCACCCCTCCCCCTCGAGAATAATGCCCTCACCCACCCATCCATTCTCCATAAACTGTAGTTGCTGAGCCTAAAGCTTTTGACAGTGAACACTAAAGCTTCTCACCTCATTTTACAAAAGTTCTTGAGGGGTCTTAGCTCGCCTCCAAGGAGTTTATCCAGTATTCCTCCATATCGAATCACATCTACCATTCCTCACATAATGGTGAAGCTCTCATTCTGTAACATGTCTAGGGGTCTCACTTTTCTGCAGAATTGTTGCGCTATGGAATCTTTCAATGCAAAAGATGTACTATAAAAGAGTGTGGTGTCTCTTTACAATCTATACAAAACTATGTATTAAAAAAAATGTTTTTCCTTAAAATTTTAATTCAGTTCTATTGATTACTGGTATTATTACTGGTGCCGTCACATTTAATGTTGCTTTGCAAAATTTTGTAGGTAAAAAAAATAAAGCGCGACCAGATGTGACAAAATACCATGAAGTAATAATGATGACAAAGTAAACTCCCTAAGTAAAAGATTAAACAAATTAGAATCAATTTATAATATTGATGTGTAGTTTTATACAAAACTACACTGTAAAAAATGTTGTTGTTTTTTTGGTGAAGTAAATACTACTGAAAAAAATGTAAACAATAAAAACAATGTAATTTACATGGAAAAAGTTAGTTCATGCAAGAATTAAAGTAAATTCCATATCAGTACTTAATTCAAGCGAGTAGAAATGAAAGTGTAAATATCAACTCAATAAAATTAAGTAAAAGTTACTCTAAAGTAAACATTTCTGATACTGGGGTTCCCATCATGTACTGGACCTTGAATAATTTTTGTTGTCAGTATTAGTAACTTGCCATTTTGTGACATTTCGAGTAAATTTTTGGTTCAAAATGACACATTCAAACACAAAAACGACCTATCGAATATTACCGCCATTGTGTATTGCACCAAGTATTGAGATCTTTACATTCACATGATACATAACATGTGACATGATATAATATAAATGACTTAGATGATCTAAGTAAAGCACATACTACAAATGACTAATAAAATTCAATATTATTGTTTTGTGAAATGTAATGCAAAGGCAAAAGAAATTTCAACTAAATCGATATTAATCAACCTTTTACTTGCCAAGTTAATAGTACTTATTTTCTTTAAAATTTACTTCATTCCATATTCCAAGTAAATTTAACTTAAATATTTCTAATTAAAGCTACTGATAAATATGTTTAGGTTTTTACTTGGCAAATCTTTGCAAGTTTACTAGCATTTTCTGAGTGAAAAAAGTTGCCTATAGCTTTTTTCAAGTAAATCCCACTCCATTTTTTTTTTCAGTGTAGTGTACTGGAGCTTTATACAAAACTAGAGTAAATAACTGCCAGAACGAGCGCCTGTCCATTGTGGACGTTTCATTTTGCTTTGTTTGCGAAATTATTAAAACTCCCCCAAATAGGGGTCACTGCCAAATCAAGAGGCTTGCTATTGATCGATTCACATATCAAAGTGCACCAAACTTAAACCCGATTAAATTTTGCCACAGGAAGTCCATCATTGTGCCGACTCCCATTGAAACTACTGGATTTTGCATACTAGCAACACTACATGCGACTGTACCTTAATTCAAAACGTTTGTTGCATCCAGAGTTGCACTTAGCAAGTTATACACCAACTTCAAACCGCTTGTAAATATCAACATGTTCTTTTCCTTCACAGATTACTACTCGAGCTCGGCCACGGATTCATCAGGTGCTCCGCTATTGCGCTAACACGCCAGCTGTTCGCTCTCAATTACTACTGCCTAACTAGTGTTCTTCTCCTGTCCTTGTGCTCCTCTTATATTTCAGTGAAAGCAGTTATTATGCTAAGGACAGTCTGTGTTTGTCTGAATGCCCGAAGACTGCTGTTGTCCATTTTAGGCACAGTTTTTGTCATTTTCCTACAGAGTGTAACGTTCAACAAAGGAGCCTGTTGCAAAAAACTTGATGGTTCTCTACTACCCTCGCAGAAGCCATGCAGATAGATAGTTACATAATGGACGAGTTTCCTCACCAAAACATTGGCTTCAAAGGGTATTTAAGTATTGGATCTAATTATACTTTCGGAGACAAGTCTGCTGTCGTCCTAAGTGGTGATGTATCTATTAATATGCCTGTATTGAGCACTGATTAATAGCAACAAAGAGACTTCAATCAGTTGCTGTTCATCGGACTGCTTTGCTCTGTTAGCCCGTCCTTCAATGTCGCCTTAGATGAACAATTGTTCTTTGTTTAAACGTTTTAATGCAACTTTTTAATGTTGTTTTGGGACTGTTCACGGTCAGATGATACACCCACATCTGTGTGGTGAAATTTTAAAATACCTTGTATAGATGTAGTTTTTTGGTAACTTTTTTTTATATTGAAATAAAAAGGGAATTTCCCCTCATTTTTTGTATTCACTCATTGTTGTATTCATTTAAACTATACGCTCCATTTTATCTATTAAAGTGAGCGGTGTTGGTTTAGAAAACAAATCTAGTCCTGTATCATGTATAACATATTTACACTCAAACGTGTTCGAGCATTTTTCTCGGAAGATTGCACTGGTGTACGCCTCCTCCCTCTGTTTCCCTCAGGTCACTGTGCTATGAACTTGTTTGGCTGGTTTGACAATAGAAAGGAAATAAAATCCTAGTGTTTGTTGGAGTTGTACTTTGCGGAGGAGGGGCAAACTCCAGAGAAAATTCCCCTTTCAACTGTCCTCTTTTTGACACAACTATAAAAAAGATACTCTGATTTACTAGTCAAGCTATTTTAGTGATTTATGAAATACAGTTTTAAGGGTTAATGGGAAGAATTTACGCATTTTCTTTTCTAAATGTGTGTGCTTGCATTTTGTTGCATTGCGTTTCGATTGTAAAACATTTCAGACCCTAGCAATGGCATGACAAGAACACAGTGGTAAAATCTGTGATGCACAATGACAAGCATGAACATCTTTCTTAACTAATTGTTTGCTCAGAATGGCAAAAGTTCAGATGTTTATGAAAGATAAGACAAATAAAAAATGTATTTCCAAAATAAATGGATGTCATAGTGAAAGACACGTGACTCTCTTTCTCTAATGCATTGATGCATTTACTATATATAAAAAAAAAAAAAAAAGTTGGCATAGGTAGAATTCCACATTGTATGTGTAGAATGTATGTAACAGCTTTTCTGTTTGGACTTAATCGTCACCAGAGGGCAACATTGCACACATTATGATGACAGAGGAACCTGAACCTAGAGCCGCTAGGCACTGGGTGATTCGAGATTGTGTGTGTGCGTTGTCATTGGTTTCTGAGTCAATGGTTGGATCATTATTGCAGAGATTATGTTTCTATATTATATGTTTGGCAACAGTTTCCAACCATTCTTTCACAATTTGAGCCTTATGAATCATGACATTGTCATCCTGGAATATGCCCATGATGTGTCTTCCTACAAGGTTGATTAAAGCATCACACGGCATCAATCAGAGTTAGAAGAACTGTTGCCAAAATATATAAACATAATAACCACTGCAATAACTTAATGCTTAAGCATTTGCCTATATAAATCCAAACAGCAACTATGCCTATTTTATTCTATATTGTGTGCATACTCTAAATGCATAATGTGCATAACTTGTACATGCATGCTAAAGTCACATTCCTACAATGCAATGTGAATTTTAACACAAATTGAATTAAAATAATGCAAATGAATTAAATAAAAAAATAAAAATGCATTTTTATTTTCACTTGCAAACATGCAAGGATTGAAACATTTTTGAACCGCAAACAGTTGTACATGGTTTTAAGTAATACATATTATATAATATATTGCTGCTCAATTTATATCCTGACATCACTAAAGCGACTGAATAGAGTTTCTTGTAAGTCACTTGAGCAATCATCTGCTATAAAAACAAATGTGCTGTGCAAACGCTGCATCTACCTCTGTGCCACTGACCCTGTAGAGTCAGTCACCATGGTTACACTGCAGGTCTTGATGCCCAATTCTGATGTGTTGCCTATATCCGATTTTTTTGACCGTCCGTTTACACGTTTTTTCAATTGTGACCCATATCTGATTCATGTGTTTACACTTGACATAGCCTACTATCTGAAACATCGCTCAAGCTTAAAGGGATAGTTCACTTTGAAATGAATTTTTGGTATGTTTTAGATTACCTCAAGGGCATCCAAGATGTAGGTGTCTTTGTTTTTGGCAGTATTTTCAATTTTGATATTTTTAGGTCAAACCGTTCTTGTCTGTCAGTCATATAATGAATGTCTATGGTCACCACCTCAAAGAGCATGCACCGAGAAGTCCAAATTAAACATGATTTAATGACTCATAAATGTAAGTACACATTGATGGCCTAAGACACGAAACGAGCGGTTTGTGTGAGAAAACGAACAGTATTGTTCGTATTCTACGTGGTTACAAGAGGTAAAAAGTCTCCAAAAAGTATATGGCAAACACTAGACAGAGTGATAATGCAAAATGTATAAAAATATTTAATTGCAGTATAATTATGAACATACAAAAGTTTTTCTTAGATTTAATCTAGCTTTCTCACAGAGACAATACATGAACCCCCCCTTAGGCGCAGAGATACAGTTTTATCAAGGAATACTTTGTAGTTTTGCAACGGTGCTTCTATCAAAAGGCTAAAAAAACAACAACAATCAATACTAAGACATAAACCACATACTTGTGACATAAATACCATTACAAAGGTGCAGTAATTTCATTAAACTGTGTAAACAATAAAGATGTGCTAAAGTCTGTAACTTTTTCAGACGTAACGAAGTATGATTTTCATCCAATGTTTGGACCTCTTTTGAAAGTCCAAATTCAAGCAGTACGTGAGTCTTTGGTTCACTACCTCGTGAACAGCATGTCAATCAGCAAGTCGAGAAGATCTGTCTGACCAATCACCGGCCGAAAGAAGAGCTCTGTGATGAGGCTCGGAGTGATGGTCTTTAAAGTGGACGCGGTGAGGAGGATTCGAGCAAATCGCCCTCTATCCTCTGGATGAAGAGGCACCAGGACCTCTTTCAGGGCATGCTGAGCTTCATATTGCAAACCCTCAATGAACAAAGATGCCTTCAGGCCTGGAACATCTGCAGATGGAAAATATTGGGTGAGTATATTATCAAATCTGTGGCTGAAAGCAATACTTCAAGGTAAAACATAAATTATATATAACTACGTATACTTTGTTTTAATAACTATATATATATATATATGAATGGTTATTAAAGGAGTAGTTCACTTTAAAAAAAAAACTTTTGCTGATAATTTACTCTCCCCCATGTCATCCAAGACGTCCACGTCTTTCTTTCTTCAGTCGAAAAGAAATTAAAGTTTTTGATGAAAACATTCCAGGATTTTCTCCATATAATGCACTTTACTGGGAACCAAAAGGTTCAAGGTCCAAATGAGAGTTTCAGTGCAGCTTTAAACGACACCAGACAATGAATAAGCGTCTTATCTAGCGAAACGATTGCTCATTTAAAAAATAAATAAAAAAGTTTAAGTTTTATAAGCACAAATGGTCGCCTTGCTCTGTTCTGTGATGAGCATTCGTGACTCTCCTGTTCAAACTCGTTCATCAAAACGAACAAATCTTTTTTCATGACTCGAAGGATCCTAGACAAGACCCTGATTCATCGTCTGATGTCGAACACTGAAACTGTCTTTTGGACCTTGAACCGTTTGGTTCCAATTGAAATACATTATATGGAGAAAATCCTAGAATGTTTTCATCAAAAACCTTAATTTCTTTTCGACTGAAGAAAGAAAGACATGAACATCTTGGATGACATGGAGGTAAGTCAAAAGTTTTTTTTAAGTGAACTACTCCTTTAATGGGTAAAATTGAGAAAATAATAAATTTCATAAAGACATCAGTTATAGATGTATAAATTATAAAAAAAAGATGCCATTAAACAAATATTAAAAATATAGGGAGTTTAAATAGAACACAATTTTGATTTTGGAAAACATACCTGGATTGAATATGACGGTGCCTTTCAGATAAGCGTACTCCTTTGGGCTTAAATCCAGACTCCAGAACTTCATGAGGCACGCTTTAAGTGTTTGCACGCCAGCCATCGTGGGCTGCTCTCGATCGCAGTTCATCATCTCCTGGTTGTTGAGAAGAATTCGTTTCAGCATGCTGGGTGCCGGTACGTCATCAACCTCGAAGCGAACTCTGTCCTGGGCCAGACCCAGAATGAAAAGTGGCGCCCAGCCGTTCTGCAACAGAGATAGCTGGTCTTTGGGTGGTAGTTGCTGGAACGCCGGCAAACTCTTCATGAAGTGCATCGTCTTGACCAGCACGTCCAAAGCGACCTGACACGTCTCGTTGGGTGTTTTCAGACACACGTTCCTGCGTTTCTCGCAGTGGCATGACTGAGGAACCCGCTTGTAGTTCATCTCGTTCTGAGTCGACTCGCCTCGGCTGAGGATGTTAAAGAGGATGGCGTTCGCCTGTCCGTTACTGTACTCTGAACAATCACATTCGCAATCCATGTTGGCGCAGACGCGTGCTATCTTCCAGAACTGTAACACTCGAACCGCATGTAGACTGAAGCTGTGAGAGACTCACATCTGTCACTGACACGGCTCCTATTTATAACCCGCACTCATGTGGTTTAACTCCTGAACCTTGACCTGTCAATCCACATTTGCTGTGAACAAAACAACTGCCCTGAACTGTTTAGCAATTGGGTAAATGCAGATAAGGCCTCTTAAATACAAACCCACTGTAGGCTGGGATATACTCTAGGTGAGGCAATATTATCTCTGCTGAAGTCATTACACCAGGCTGTACCAAGCGACCAAGGACTCCTCAAGTTATATGGTACCTATCATTACAGACGTACCGCCTATAAACCTACAAACAGTCGAATCTAGAACAGAGAAGTAAAAGGTTATTGCCCCTTGAGAACGGGAAGGATGACTGTTACTTCATTAGCTGTTAAAGATTCGAAGCTCACAGAGACTTCGCTCACACAGATTCGGTCATCGTTTTCTTTCTTCTGTGTAACACACACACACACACACACACACACACACAAAAAAGACCTTTTGAAAAATGTCTCTGTTTTTTGTCCCCCAACATTGGTTCCCAAAGTTCTTCAAAATATATTGATTTGTGTTCCACAGAAGAAAGAATTGGAGTGTGAGTGAATGATCATTTAAATGATTTTTAGAGTGAAATATGCCGTGAAGATTCAATTTATTGGAGACAAAAGGTCTTTAACAGAATAATATTTATATAATAAAGATTTTCAAGCTGTGTGGGTTTTTTTCTTCCATTATATTGACCTTGTACTACCAAGGTCTCAAGGTTGGCTAGCTGGTTAGCACCCACTCATAGATAATACGTCACCATTATGAGGCAAAATGCATTTTTTCTATTGAAGGTCATTAAAACAGCTGTGTTTTGTGAATTTTTTAAAAGAACATTATAAATCCTGTATATTTCATTGTAGGCTATTATTATAATTTTTTTTTTATATATGCGATCAGGTGTGTGATTATTTGTTTGCAAACGTACAATTTAATACACGCCGTTTTTAATCTAAATTGAGCTTGAATGTCACATCCAAAGTCATTATATTGCAATTTGCTTCATTAAGAATGATTTTTTACAACATTGATCGTGTTATTGGACGTTGGTGTCTCAATGCTGTCATTGGTTTCAATAAACAATAAGCGTTACAGTGATTTTACCACAGTAAGGACTGTTATTAAAGAATCCAAGATGTCAATGTCATTCTTTCTTCAGTCGAAATGAAATTAAGGTTTTTGATGAAAACATTCCAGGAGTTTTCTCCTTATAATGGACTTCAATGGGGTCCAAACGGTTCAATGTCCAAGTGAGAGTTTCAGTGCAGCTTCAGGACCCTTATTCATCATCTGGTGTTGTTTAAAGTCCTTTGAAGCTGCAATGAAACTCTCATTTGGAACTTGAACCGTTTGGTTCCCATTGAAGTCCATTATATGAAGAAAATCCTGGAATGTTTTCATCAAAAACCTTAATTTCTTTTCGACTGAAGAAAGAAAGACATGGACATCTTGGATGACAAAATTATTAAGTCGAGTAAATTATTCGATTTTGTTAAAGCTGATTGAATGCTCCTTTTCCATCTATACTACATCCAACTTCATTTGTTTGCTTTTTACTGTTTACTGACTCTCTGCAGAAAACATAAAAAAAAAATCAGTCAGATAAAATGACTTTTGACTGATTGTCAAATAATGAAACATTGAAGTGATCAAACGCTTGAATTATATTTAAATGAGTGCATTATTAACAAGGTGGTAATGTGATCAATAAAGCTGCTTTCTTTCTACAAAGAAAATTAATCAACATTGTGTGACATTTGCCAGTCAGAATTAGTAAAAAGTTTTCCACCAAAGACCATTTATCACTCTCTTGAGAAATTCCCGCTACCATTGACATGTTTTTCTGTGTCTCACAGTCATGTGAGACTTGCCCTGTTTTATTATCTCTGCAGTGCCTAGCACAGAAAGCTTAACCAGATAAGCTAATTACTATATTGCTTTCAATCAAATCAACAAGTAGCTACTTGTGCGATTCCACTTAAATTTCCATTGTGAATATATTTCCCACAGACACTCACCAAAGCCACTTTAGTTTTATAACATTTGTTTTTCATTTAAGTTTCTCTCATGGCTTTGGCAAAAACAACATTGGATAAATCCTCTTATATTTGTCATAATTCCAAATCAATTATATTCCTTATGAAATTAAACAGAATGGCAGGTATATTGCACCTCTTGACATTCTTGTTTTGTGGTTTACACTGTACATGAACATCCTGAGAAAAAATAAAGAGTCAAGAACACACAAATCAGTGTCTGAATCATAGTGATTGAATCACGGGTTGTAAATGCATTTGATAAGGCCATGTTTATTGAAGGTCGAGACAGTCTGAGACAGACACTGAGGACACCATCTTATCATCAACATGATAATGTAATTCCTCATGCCAGACAATGAAACAAAAAACAAAAAAAGAAAATGCTATAGTCTAATCTAGAACTATATTTAAACAACCTTTTGCTCATTCTTTAATATTATAAATGTGGTGTTTATGAGCTCATATTTATTATGGTTTTTATTCATGGTTTCAGTTTTTTAAGGATTTTATATTGATAGAACTCTTTTGCGCAGACATATATTACCTATATATTAGGGCTGTGTGTCTTATCATTATATAGTTAATCAATATCACACAAGTAACTAGCGATGTTTTTGTCCCAAATAGCACGAGTGCACATTGATTTTAGACAACAGTTCAATAAAAAAAAAGTTACTGTTATATTTTAGACACAATATTGTTAGCTTTTGCTACATTTTGTCAACAAAAAATGTTTTGATCCACGTTTTGAGCGAATCATTCGGGTGAACCAATGTTTCAATGTCCCATTCATGAGCCATTTACTTAATTCCTGAATGAATCAGACGTTTGAACGAATCAAATTAATGACTCAAAGTCTGCATCCAAAATCGAAAGCTTCCCTACTGGTAGGCGAACAACAACATGTGACAAAAGAAGTCTGAATTCACATAAAAATGTAGGCAAAACACTTTACGATGGACACTTAACTATACCATGAAGCCGAGAGAGGGCATTTATGAATGGCAGTGAAGCGACGCAACTGACATAGGAACGTCACATGATAATGACAACATGGCCGGATATAGTATGTCCAGATTAAATTCATTCTACACCCACGTATAGTATAAAGAACATACTTTTTTAGCGGTCGTGAATTACTTATTCAAAATGAGTACCGTCAGACTCAGACAATAACTTACTCATTAAGACATATATATTGAGACTTTTAAAAAAGGACTAAAAACTTTTCTTTTTAGCAGAACTTTTGACTTTTAATTACTATCTATGTCTATTTTTACAATGCTTTTATGATCTTAACTGTAGCACTTTGAGATTTGCTCTAAATGTAAGGGGCATTACAAATAAAATGATTTATATATATATATATATATATATACATATATATATATATATATATATATGTATATATATGTATATATATATATGTATACCAAAATTTTAAGCTGTGGTTGAGAAATTATCCCCAAAAGATGCTTTAAAGTCATTATTGTGTTGAACAAGAAAAGCATCAATAGACATTACTAAAAGTAGCTTTAGAACAAAATATATATAGTTTGATTCAACATTTATTACACACAAACTTTTAGGCTTCAATGGCCATGAAGGCGAGTACATGATGACAGAATTTCCATTTTTGGGTGAACTACACCTTTAATGTTTTTTTGTTAATTAATATAGAAATATGAAGTATTTTTTTAAAATTGAAATTATATTTTAAATAAATAAGAAACAAAACTGCCAGTGGGTGGCAGTAAATATATATATATATATATATATATACACACACACACACACACACACATTATATACAGTATAACAGTGCCAACAGTCCCAACTGTGTTCCTGGTGTTCCTCAATATAGTACACAGTGTGACTGTGTTTGAGGTGTGTTTGATTAGGGACACGTCCAGCATACGGTGTTGGTGGAACTCCAGGAACAGGGAACTTTAACTTTTGCAAGCCACTCTAGATAAATATCTTCTTTATGGACACAATCTTCTTGGATTTTATTTCATTTTATTGGGCATGCAAGATGCAAGTTGTTCTCACAGGTAAAAAAAAAACAACAACACTATTCTCAATGTTCTCAGTTGTCCATAAAGTTGCTTTTTCATTGTGTGGAGATGTAAATTAATTTGTATACTGCTAAAATCTCATATATCTCATATTATCTCTGAACAGGTAACAGGTATCTTTGCTAAATAAATAAAAGTTTAAAGACACTTAAAAAGTAAAAAATGTACAGTCTGGTTGGCTTGGTTCAGAGCATCTTTAGTTCTGGGAATAAAACTATTCCTCAGTCTATAAATGTCTTGTAACAGTGGTTTAAACAGTGGTTGGGTGTGTGTGTGTGGTTCTTACAGATGATGACAGTTTTCATGAGACAGCGTGATCAATAGATGTCCTCTGGTAGTAGTAATCTTTCTTCGATTATCTTCTGTCCCGGCAGGACAACCCTCTGGAGCGCTTTCCTCTTACTAGCTGTGCAGCTGAGAAAACACACAGATGCAGTATGTTAAAATGCTCTCTAGTTGTTGACTTCGTCAACTCACACATAAGTTGTTGTAAACAGAAGCATGTTTGCATGATGTGCGAGAACCAATGAGGTTAATTCTCATGTTACGCATCACGTTTGAGCTTCAGCGAGAGGTTTGTTCTCTCGTATCAAGCAGGTTCGGTTGAGCTTCTGTTTATGTTCGCTGGTCAAAATTCAATGTTCATCATATAAAGCAATTGAGTCTCTTCAGAAGATTTGAACTAAACCATTCAATTCATATCAGTTTTGTGATCTCTTTATGCCTTTACCTTTTGAAGCGTCAAAGTGGTAGTTGCGTAGCTTTCAATGGGGGGACAGAAATCTCTCAAATTTCATCCAAAAAAAAATCTTTATTTGTGTTCTGAAGATGAATGAAAGTCTTGCAGGTTTGGAATGACATGAGGAGGCGTAATTAATTAATGACATAATTTTGAATTTTGGGAGAACACTAGCCTATCCCTTAAAAAGTACCCATGTCATGATGAGACCCCTTCTGAACCCGCAGCTTTCTGTGGATTAGCCTGATTGTACCTCATTATGTGCGTACAAGTCAACATTTTCTGATCGTTTGGCCCTTAAACATTTATTGGAAGGACAAATAAACCTTTAGAGCAGCATAAACTTGCTGTAAGTGTAACGTATGAACTTAATTTCACATGTGACATTTACTGGATGACTTTCTTCAGCCTTGACCTAAAACTATTGCAACAGAACAAGACGTTTAACATCATCTTGAACGCGATAGTCGAGAAAACAGTTGCCTGTCTGTCTGCCTACTGTGTGATAGTTCAACTATTTCAGGTCAAATGCCACCATTTTTCACCTTCATATTCCACACAACACAAGTCTTATCAACAGGACGTGATTCATGCTCCTCAGTGACAGCACCTCGAATCTATTTATATTTCAGCTTTTATGACGGTCATAAGAATGACTGAGCTGGAAAGTTGAAGGCCAGGTCGACATCGTTTAGTTTTCCTTCGGTTGGTGAAGGTGAAACCAAATAACCTGTTTTTATGCAATCAGTATTAAGTAATTATTAGGTAAATGTTTTTTTTTTGTTTTTTTAAATAAAGGTTTATTTCAAGCCCAATAATCCTAAAGAACACACGGAATTCGTGATGTATCGATTATTTGCGATAGTTCGGCTAAATGATGATCAATTTTAATCAACAACACGAAAGCAAAGCATGAACACCAAACATTTAACGTTAACTTAGCAAGGGACAGCTGACTTTCACATTAACGTTCAGAAACACATAAACAAACTTAGTCTTAGTAATTTTAATCGTTTACAACTCACCAAATAACATGATGTCGAGACTTTAAACCTGACTAAATATAACGTTGGTTGAATAATCACTCGCAAAGGTCGCGCGCTTAAAACGGCACGCGCACGCCGCCACGGCCATTTTCCCGCCACATTCGACAAAAATGCTTTGTTAAATTATAATTAGTCAAAATTAAGACAAAAAGTCGAAATTATGACATCTGTCATAAGTGTTTTTTTTTTTTATGCTCGTCTTGAAATGACTAATGTACAAAAGTCTTACTATTAACATTTGAAATAAGCACTGATCTAATAAAGGTGTTCTTGTACTAAAAACCTATTTAATAGGTACAAGTTGGCTGTATAATTAAGCAGTATCTAATGAATTAGCAAGGAACGACTTACAAAAATCAAATAAATAAGTACTAATAGTAGGTACTAATCACTGATTCAGGGAAAAAAATACAATAAGGTAATGCAACATTCACCAATTTTCTGTGATAATTGTTAACCATGCATTCATTAGTTCAAGGAGCTCATTGTTTCTGTCTTAAATTTATTTTAAATTAAAACATATTTATCAGTGTGATTTGTATGTACATATCTAAAACAACTTTAGACGTCACCTCTGATAACAGGTCACTCTAAATTGTAACGTAGAAGCATTGCATTTTCTGTAAAGTGGCTTTGACATGATAAAGCACTATACTAAATGTGAATTGAATGCAACATCTGCAATTGATAAATTTAACTTGACACCAAGAACCTCAACAGTTCTCCAATAGTGGAAAACTCCTTTAGTGTGCCAAGCATCGTCACTCAGGCTTGCGACTGAAAACATTTATTGCATTATACCTGACCCCAGTCTCATCAATACAACATCCTCACGTCCCTCAGGGCATTAACCCAGTGACCTCCAGAGGCAGAGACCTTACAGTTGGTGAACTCTGAAATAATGAATTTCACAGCATGCAATACACATTTGTAAAATGTTAGCATGTTCCTTTAAAAAGAGTAATCATAAATTTCTGAGAATGAAAGCAACTGCTTTAACTCATCCAAAGGTTTTTAGCACAATTCAAATTATTAAAACACAACAAATAATAAATGTTTAAAGTTTTATTTATTCAAGCAGTTTAATCCAATGTACTTTTCCCAAATGTTCAGCTATCAACTGCAAGAACACAATTGACAATGAGCATTCAATTAAGAGGAATAAAAAGAAAGGAATGTTTTGGAATTTTCAAAATTAAAAGTTTTCTGTTTTTTTGGACATTTTTAATAATAAATCAAGGTCAAGAGCTCTCTCAACCTGGCAAAATATTTGGATGTAATCACTGTAGGGTTTTTTTCTGTTTTGAGTTTCTGGTTTTTCTATATTTATTCTCTTTTTTTAATGCGTCCTTGGTGAAGTCAGGGCCAGAGAGGTTCATTCTGGAAATGAATCAGAAAAGGTGTATTCAGACAAATGTCAAGCAGAGAAAATTAATGCATAAAATCATCATGAATTAGCTATCATCTCCCACCTTGCGTTAGACGGCCGGCACAGCAGTGCTGGGGACTGATTTCTGGGCGGCTTCCTTGGCCTGGTGAGCCTGCAGCACCGCTACTGCTTCATCCACCTGGAAAACATGTAAAACAGCCATTACACACTAGACCTGCTTGATTCTGGATACATTGAGAATCACGATTTGTTTCAAACCGAGATCATTGTCCTACATTTGTCACCATCTGGTGGCTTTATGATGTAATCGTTATATGAAACACCATGCTACTTCCTAAATGTGACCTTTACTCGATTTTGATAGCTTGCGTAGACAGCAGTGTGTATATCCGAACTATAATCTTTAACCCAGACTCCCAGTACTTCTGTGAAATGAATATTTGTAACAAAGATAGACAGTGTTTTTGTCTGTTTAATACACCTTGATAGATTTTACGTGCATTTTCACTAGGAGCAGTGATAATGATATCCCCAATATCAGGACAAATCCAATAACTTGGAAAAACAAAAAGAAAACACCACAGGACCACTGACCTTTGACCTCAGAGACTCCGGCGACTCCAGCATGTGGAGCAGCTCTGAATTGTCGATCTCCAAAAGCATACCAGTGATCTTTCCAGCCAGACTGGGATGCATGTTCTGGATGAGCGGGAACAGGCGCTCACCTGTAGCAGGGTGAACGAGACATTTAAAATAAACATTTACATTCAATTAAGGGAAGCAAAACAGGAGCAAGACAGATCGAACCGCTTACCCAGCATCTGCTTCTGTTCTTGTGGAGGGGCGGCAGCTAACATGGACGCAGTCAGTGGCTCCTGACCTTGAACGTGGACCGCAGGCTGAACAGGAGTCAAATATATTAACATTAGAAAACCTGAAACACTTCTGTAAGGTAACATGCTGTGATGTTCAATAAAGTTGGACAATTAACCGATAATAGTTGACAATTCAAAATCAGGCAATTGAGGTTTACTAAATGGTATCATCTGTGTAAAATGATTGTTAAAACAGATTATTGGAGTATATTTTAATAGGAAATACTATCAGTATTTCTGCTTCATTTTAACATATAAATCGATGTTATTTGAGCCCCTTTCACACAGCGCATTGAAATTGGCGGGAAATTCCCAGGAAATTGGCAGAACGCATTCTGTGTGAACGCGTGTATTGATACCGGCATCCATGCCGGGTTGGGGACCTAGTAACATTGCCCGAATCAGTCCCAGAACACGCGCTGTGTGAACAAAAGCCAGGACCAATGCCTTAACTAATGGGTGTGTCAGTGATGACGCTTGTGCCATCACATGACTCTGTTGCTCTAAGAAGAAAGTTTGTGTTTGTCATCAACAAAGAAAGGACAAACAAATGTCTGCAAACTGGAACAAAGCAGAGACCAGGAGCTCCTCACTATCTGCGCTGAACCTGAGATCGTTCACCAGCTTTGTGGAATGGTTTGCATGTGTACATGTTTTCAACGTGTACGTTACACGTCTCATCCTGATGTCATGTGTCTTTCCGGGATCTTTACTGGTTGTATGTGAACGCACTCACAGATCCCAGCAAATCACTGACAGTGTGAATGAACCGAAATCAAACAATCTCGGGACAAATGCCGGGTCACATTATCCGTGTATTACCGGAATCTCTGTTTGAAAGGGGCTTTGCTGATCCTTAGAAAACTTCTAGTATATTTCACAAATAATTACAAGGTAAAAAGAACACCATTGGATGTAATATAGATCCTACTTTATATATAGAGCTGTGCAATAATAGGTTTATTTTTTCTTCCAAATGACTCTATAACAGAGCCCGTCTAACGGAGAGCCTTGGCACTTCCTATTGGCCCCATTGTGCATCACCTTGGTTGCAGTTCCATTAGAATTCCACTGGAGGTGATCACGGGCAAGTGCAGAATGAATGGGAGTCTATGGGGCTAAACGGCTAAATGCGTCTTTCACCTGCTTGTCGTTAAATCAACATAGATTTTATTGTTGATTCCTCAAGTTCAATATAGATTATAGGCCAAAAGTCGAATGAACGATTACTTATGTCCTTTTGATTTCTTACAGGTTAGGCCGTTGTTGGCCGGAACACGCTAGCATTCTGCTATTGTGTGACGTCATCACAGTTTTGAACGGATTTTTAGAACAGATAAGTGAACTTAAAAATGCAATTTTCAGTTGAGTGTATTATCTTAGCCCTCCCTTCTGGATGCAACTTTCAAATTACATCATAAGAAAAGTGGATTTCTGGGGGTGAAACCCCATTGACTCCCATTCATTCTGCACTCGACCGCGAGCGCCCCCGCATGGACAGAGATGAGTTACTGCAGCCAGTCCAGAACCCGGAAGTAACAAGCCAGTGCCAATTCTCTTCAATTAGACGTTCTCTGACTATACTCAGTCTAGTGAATGTATTGTCCAAATCATTGCCTGATTTGGCCACATAAGTGTCAGTTGAGTGCGTGAACAGTCCAACACTCCACTTCCACAAGTGCATCATCTGGGTGCTAAAGTGCACATTTTGTTTTGGATTTTCTTTTAGTGTGATCACTATTCTACAAAATATCACAGAATTGTGCACAAGAATGCAAACTGGGATGCACTAGTTCTCAAATGTTTTTAAATTGGAGACATATTTTGGGGAGTCAACAACAAGTGCCATCAAATGTAAAACTAATACCTGCTGCATGGGAACCTGCGGCTGGTTGGGCATGTGCTGCTGCGGGTTGCGGACTCCAGGAGCATACTTGTACTGTGGCACTCCTCTCACCTGAGCGGTACCAGTAGCGGCACCTGCACCAGAAGGACGAGGTCCCATCGCTTGAGACGCTGCCAGGAAGAAAAAGGACACTCAGGATCAAAGAACTGTAGTAATGCATTAGCTAAATGTGTAACAGCAAAGTTCACTCACCCATGCGCTGTGAGGGGATCATTCGAGGGACCTGGGAGGTGGGACGCACGGCACCGAAGGTTTGTGGACGGGGTGCAGATTGCCTGATGGCATTAGGCATATTCTGGAAATCTACAATGGAAACGAGAAACAAAACAATGAAGCTAAACGTTATGGTTTAGAGTACGAGTAAACCGGAGAAAAGGGGGCGGAGCTACTCACGCTGTGGCCGGACACCCTGAGTGGCCCAGCGAGGACTGGGGCGGAGCTGTGCGAGCTGACTGGTGGGATAGTACGCAGCACGATTCTGAGCCTGTCAATCACACAAAAGAAGGGAATGTGAATCAATGAGGAATAAACTGTTCTGAATTGTCACTTCATGATCGTTAAAGCGAAGAAATGAGCAAAACTAAAAAAAAAAAAAAAAAGTTAAATTGTCTATTTTCTTGCCCAGGTGACACTTAATATTCAGTAATATTATAGACTGCACAGACATTGTTTATAGCTTAATGCCATGTTTATTAAAGGCTTTTAAAGTTTATCTTTGAAAAAGAATAATCTAAAATTAAATCTGGTCTTCATTAGAAATATTTTGTTTATTATTAGTAAAGTAAAAAGTCGTAACAGTTCAATCAGAACAGTAATAAATGCAATAGGTGCATAAAGGAGGATCTTCATCCATTAACAAACATATGGCTTAGTCTAGAGTGGCCTATTCGACAGCGAGCGTAAATATATTCCTAGTGATTTTCAAAATGTACATTATGGTTTCCACTCACCACAGAATTCATAACCACACGGACACTATTTATTAAAAACAAAACTAGAAATGAATTGGGCTGAATGACGCCAGCTGCTTTTTAGCTCAACCAAATTTGAATTTGCAGTTCACGCTTTCAAACCAAGCAGTTTCATTGGTCAACATGACGAATTCTAATGGCCGACTCAAACCGTTGCTATTTATTTATTTGAACAATGGTGAATGTGACCACACCATAACTAGAACAGTGTTATCTGACCTGTGGAATGGCTGCCATGAAGTATCCAGATGGTGGTGCGGGCTGGTAGGGGTTGATGACGGGGTTCGGTACGGCTCTGACACTGGCCATCCTCTGCATGTATTGGCTGGTGAGGTGAGCCTGGCGCTCTTCTTTCCGCTGGGCCAGCGCGACGTACAAGGGCTTGGTGGCGACGATACGGCCGTTCATTTCAGTCACGGCCTTAGTGGCTTCTTCAGGGGAAGAGAAGCAGACGAATCCAAAACCCTTACTGCGGCCACCTTCCATCATCACCTGAGTGGATCACAAGATTCAACAGCATTCAATTCTGATGCTTGTGAGGGATTAATGTCAATCATCCAAACAAATCTCGAGGAAAACCAAAGATTTCAGACAATTTAAAAGTTGAGACTTTAGAAATATTAATTTGTATGGATTTCTTTGTACCTTAGCACTGGTAATGGTGCCGAATGGTGCGAATTCTTTACGCAGGCGTTCGTCATCCAAGCCGTCATCAAGATTTTTCACGTAGAGATTTACTCCCTGTTAAAAACAAGATGAATTCAAACTTAAAGAAGCATCACTGAACCTTTAAGAACTTTACCACCCTCTAAATGTTTATATCAGCCAAACACGGGTCATTTTTTTACCTGGTAGCGAGTCATGCGGTCCTGCTTCATTTGCTCAAACTTGCGCTTGAGCTCAGTCTGACGTTCACCCTTCTTCTGCGCACGACCCACGTAAACCTGCTTTCCGTTCATCTCTTTCCCATTCATCTCATCCACAGCCTGATGATAAGAGGAAACGCATCAGGATACAACACTTTATCACAATAGTGAGGATTACACAATGATATTAATCGGTTTCTACTCACTCTCTGGGCATCCTCGTGCCTCTCAAAGCTGACAAAGCCAAAGCCCTTAGATTTGCCGCTCTCATCGGTCATGACGCGAATGCTCAGTGCTGGACCTGTAATGACAGCCGGACACTTGAAAGATCTGACTCGTGCAATAAGGTCAAAAGCAGGCCCATTTACACAAAAGACAATAACTATAATGATCAAGATGCAGTGGTCAAATCATTCAAAATATAAAACAGTCCACAACTACAAATATAACTCCAAAGAGAAACAAAGTCATTGAAATCACTTTAAGAACTACTTTTTTTTCAGCTGATGTACAATAAAAACAAACATCGACAGCCAATCAGAATCCATTCCGTTATGAAGACGACAGCGCACCCTTATAAACAGAACGACACTGTTCACTGGTGTTGATGTTAATCTCATTCTTGGGAGTGAACAGGCTTTTACAAGCAGCAAAATACTCACCATATTTGTTGAATATCTCCCTCAGCTTCTCATCATCCATATCCTCTCCGAAGTTCTTGATGTAAACATTGGTGAACTCTTTGGCACGGGCGCCCATCTCAGCCTCGCGCTCCTTGCGAGACTTGAAGCGACCGACAAACCTTTAAGATGGAATAAGTTACCATTATTATTCTGAATGTGAATTTAAGTCCATAGAGGCTACATTCATGACAAACTCAAGAGTAATAAGTTTTTAAACACTTCAATGAATAGTTATTAATTTTATATTTTATTTAAAAATACTAATATCTTCGAGTAGCTTAAATTAGTACGAATCATGCTTGAAACAGAATCAGCACACTTGACTCCAAACCGACAATTTAGTACAAAGTAGTTAATTCGAATGCACACTTACACTTTGCGGTCATTGAGCAACATGCCGTTCATTTTCTCAATGGCTCTTTCTGCGGCCTCATGGGTCTCAAAGTGCACAAAGCCGTATCCTTTAGAGCCGTTCTCATCGCAAACCACCTTCAGGAAGAGAACACCAGCACTGAGCACAAGCACCAAACACCAGAAACATGCACATCACTGCAAAGTGCAAACACACGTTTATTACCTTGCAGGACAGGATGTTTCCGAAGGCAGAGAATGTGTCGTAAAGGGCCTTGTTGTCGATGGACTTGTCCAAGTTCTTGATGAAGATGTTGCCAACACCACTCTTGCGCAGTGAGGGGTCTCGCTGGGACCACATGATGCGGACGGGTCGTCCCTTAATCACGTCAAAGTTCATTGTGTCCAAGGCACGCTCAGCTGAAACAGGTAATTAAAATACATTAAATATCAGCATTAAGTTATGACCAACAAACCTTAACAGCAAAAGAAAATTAATGCTAGACTGCTAGAACTATAATAAAGATGCATCTATATCTATTTTGGACTTCAAAACATGGTTTGTGTAGCGCCCTCTGGCGACAGTCTGAGTACATGTGTAAAACAAGTAGCCTACTCATTTCACCAGTTTTTTACATCGGTTGTGTCGTCATTTAAATTGAATTATGAATAAAGGGGCCAAATCCATATTTCAAATCACACATGCAAGTTTTTTTTTCATAATCATTATGAGATTCATTACACACATTGCATTTGACTTAAAGCTTCCGGTACACACAACAAAATATGTACAAGGACACATGATTCGTTAAACAAAAATTTCTGTTCGTGAGGTTAATGTCCTGAGAGAAGATATTTTTATCTTGGCCTCGGTAACGTTAACGGAAACCAAGACATTCACCAGTCCTAATACAAACGTCCTAATAGTCCTGTTAATAAACATTGAACTTAAAATTTTAACCGGAGGACGGTCACGTGCCGCACGTGTCCGTGATTCCAAACTAGCTGGACATCCAAAAGCAATTTAAAACATTGTGTTAGAAATCAACCGGGAGCGTTTGCTTACCGTCAGCGGGTTGCTGGAAGTTGACGTAGGCGTAACCGAGAGAGCGGCGGGTCATCATGTCCCTGCACACCCGAATGGACAGAATGGGCCCGGCAGGGCTGAACTTCTCGTAAAGCATGGCCTCGGTGACATCCTGGTGCAAATCCCCCACATACAGGGAGGCCATCGGGTAACTTGGAGCGCTAGGGTTCATCTTTCTTCCGTACGACAAAACAGCGATCTACCGCAACACCTGGAAAAACTGACGAGTTTAGTAATGGCGACGCACGAGCTCCAAACTAACGTTACTCGGTTTAATTTACCTTTCGAAAACGCCTTAACACGATAAATACCCTTAAAGAACAGTATTGAAGACTAATTAAAACGCGTTTGGTAACGAATTGGCGTCGACGTGTTCGCGGTGCCGATGATAAGATGATTAAAATCTCCTCAGGCCTACTGCGGTGCTGCCTTAATAATAAACTTCTCAAATCTGTCCGCTGATCCTGCTTCACCGAGGTACTCGGCAATAAAAGTAGATTTTTTGTTTGTATTTTTTTCTTGTTTTGTGATTTTTTTTGTATTTTTGATTTTTTATATAAGATGAGTGTGCCGAGGCTCTGTGGCACACGCGCTCTCTCTCGCACCGCACAAGGTAGGGGGAGAGAAGCGGAAGTACGGCTCAGATAAGAAGGCGTCCTCGCCGGAAGTTGCGTGAGCTTCTTTTATTTTTTTTTACGTAAGAGCAAAATAAGAGTCAATGTGCGTTTCTGCCACATTTGAAAAGAATCGTGCTTTGGTAAATCTTAATTATCACATAAAAAGTTATGACATAAAATATAGACATTATGAGATAAAGTCGAAATGATGTCATACTGTGACTCTAAATCAAAATTATGAGATTAAAAATATCTAAATTATTATTAAAAAAAAAATCTAAATTATTATTTTAATGTCATAACTATGAATTTATGGCCTGGTTTCACAGACATGATTTAGATTAAGACCGGATTAGGCTTTAGTCCAATAAGAACATTTAAGTTGCTTTTACAAACATGCCATAGGAAACAAAAAAAAGTTACTTGTGTGCATCTTGAGACAAAACAATGGCACTAATATATTTTAAAATATGTTAAAACAGCTCAAACATGCATTTTAGTCTGTGACTGTGACTAGTGTGGCCTTGTCTGTGAAATCAAGGGTTTTTGTCATTATTTATACTTTTTGTAATAATTATGACTTAATAATTTCTACTTTTCATCTTATAATCATGATTCCTTATAGTCATGATTCATGACATACTATGTTATAATTTCTTCATAATTACCATTTACTAAAGCATGATTTTCTTTTTCTTATGGGACCGAAATAGGTGTCCATAAATAAGAGGTGAATGTCAAGGTCATGTGTTTGTTCCCCAGGGAATGTATGCAGTCATGAAGCAGTCATGCCAAATGCATTAAAAAGAGGTAGTTCAACAAAAGAAAGAAACTCATATAGGTTTAGAACAAATTGAGGGTAAATAATTTTTAGAACAAATTGAGGGTAGACAGAACAAATTGAGTGTAGACACAATTTTAATTTTTGGGTGAACATTTAAATGTCATATAAATTTACCAAAATATCTTTATGCTTCTTGCCTCCTGGTTTTTAGCTCTTTTCTTTCAATAAATAAAACCCCCAGCTCATTTATAATATGCAATCTGTTAATAAACTGCTATATATACATAATCTTTATCATTTGACACTCATCAACTGCATTGACTCAACTTTGAATTTAATATGGAAAATTAAATGTGGAATTGGTATTTTAAACTTAAAATAAAAAATAGAAAACATTTAAAATAAAAAAAGCCTTGGAAAAACAAACAAACGTGAAAAAATATTTATTTATATTGTTGCATGACATTTCTTAACTGACATTGAAAGAAATGCAAAAATATATATTTATTTATATTGTTGCAGAACAATATTTTTTAATTGACATTAAATTGTTAAATTTATTAAAAGAAACATTACAAAAATGAATAAACACGCTGTGGTCAGTGCATTGATATCTGTCACAGGCAGTGAGAATAAGGGCTGCTGAAGGACATCGGTGTCGCGTCCATTGGCTGATAAGATTGATAAGCAGCAAGTGCTTCATTCACCTGAACACACACAAAAATTACACACTACAGAAATAAATCATACATCAAAGCAGCCAAAGCCAAACTAACAGGAACAAACCTTCATGCACAAAGATTCATAGCAGTGCAGCAACTGCATCAGTTCAGATTCATCCATCTCTAACAGCATTTCAGTGACCGTATTCGCCAAGGGCCCTACCATGTCCTGGACGAGTGGGAAGAGGCTGTGAACTGTGGAAGAATGGAGATGCGTGTTTAAAAGACATGGTCACAAATCAAACAAGAGTTTGAAAAGACAGAAAAACACAATAAAACAGAAATAAACTTGCTCAGAATCTGTTTGAGGTTTTCCGGTGAGCTGGATATGGATGTGGTCAGAGACTCCTGGACCTTAATGTGGACGAGAACATGTACAATAAGTTTTTATAAAAAAATCAAAATAAAAGTTTCTTTGTATGACTTTGTGCTTTATTTGATGGCTTGCGTTTAAAAATATTTATTTATTTTAGAGGGAGAGAGAGTGAGTGAGAGCGTGAAAGGGTGAATGATGAATGAACGAGAGAGTGAATTAATCATTTATATGTCGCTTTTTTAAAGGGATACTTCAGGATTTAGCATTAAGCTTTGTATTAGTAGAAAATCTGTAGTGTTTTCAAATTACCGTGCTTTCCACTCTCATATCCCCCTGAGATGAGAGATTTATGTATTTTTGTCTGGAAAAAATCGTCATTTTGCGTCATCGAAGGATGTTTTTGTCTAGAGTCTAAAGACTACAGTCAGTAGTCGGGTCTTTCCCGCATGTCCTCAACCCGCCCATAGAGGGCGATCTCACTCACAGAATGAACACATAGTGTCGGCCATCTTTTTTTGAAAGCTAAGCTAGCAGGCTCTTGTTCTGTGGAGAAAGCTGAGTAGTCGGGGTTACCATCCTCTTTTTCCCGGACATGTCCGGCCGTCGATGTCCGGGATTCAGCTTTTGCTTTCTGCAGTCGCCATTCATTGTTTACATGCACAGCTTTTGTTTCAATCTGACTGAATTCATTCCGATTGGTGGATCTGAATGTAGTGTTTACATGAACGCTAAACAAGTGATCGGTTGATGTGTGTGTTTTAATATTGCTAAGAAAATTCCCGCTCCTCCGTGAGAGATACGAGACCGGTGCGTCTCACAGGTGTCGCTCATCAGTAATCACGCCACCGGCTTCGCACCGTTTTCCCGCGGCCCTCACTCGTCCCGCTCGCCACAGTAAACATGATGAATGGCGACTGTAGAGCACAAAAGCCGAATCCCGGACATTTTGGGCGTTCTCGAAACACATTTTCGGGCAGACTCATCACAGAGACTCACTAATAGCCTAGACTTGTTGTTTAACGCTCTGTTACCGGTAGGCGTGGCCACCAAGGGCAGCGAAGCAAGTGCATTCTGGGAGTTGTTGTCTTTCATCCACATAAGTCAAAAATACATTTTCTGGCTTTTCTCAGTCTAGAAAGCTCCAAACTCAAAAATAATTTCACATTTCTTCGACATAAATGACCCACTTTAGATACACATTAATCTTTCCAGAAGTGAAGTATCCCTTTAAGTGACTTGTTTAGTGCACCTGTTGGACAGCCCATTGCTCCTGCGGTGCGCTGGTGAACTCGTGATGGTTGTTATCTACAGGTGCGTACGTGTGTTGCAGTTCTCGGTTCACTGCAGCTGTGCTGGGCGTCCAGGGAGTGAAACTGGCTGTGAGGAAGACAGATAAAGAAATCCATCAGAAGTTTTAGCTCAGTGGTTCCCAATCCTGGTCCTGAAGGTCCTGCTCATTTTAGATGTCTCCCTAATCAAACACACCTAATTCAAGTCATCAGCTCATAAGTAAAGACTCTAAGAACTGTAATGGGTGTGTCAGATTAGACAGGGCCTGTTTACAGCAGGGGTGATTGCACCAGCTGTTCTGTCAGCTTGTTTTGACGTAAATGGGCACACAAAGTTATAACTTAATATGCACTAATAAATATTTTTGGGTTGCACCATAAAACTTTGTTGAAGTGTAACTTTACACATAATAAACTATATAGGTATTATGGAAACCTCTGATCAGGAGAAACGGTTACTGTAAAAAATGATTTGTAATCACATTTTTTCTTTTGTCAAATCAACTTAGATAATTTATGTAGTTCAGATAACATAATATTTTGAGTTTCTGATGATTAAATCAATCTTCTTCGTATTAGCTCAATTTTTCCATTTCAATGAACTTAACATTTTAAGGCAACTAGGTTACTTCATTTTTTAAGTTAAACCAACAATATTTTTTTACAGTGTAGTAGACTTACAGAATAGCATCAATAAGCTTTTGTTTTCCCTGACAGACTTCAATTCTCTAGACACATGTGACAAAGCTGACATTTTAAGAGAGAGAACATTATGTGAACAGATTACTTTGTTAGAGGCTCTTCAACAAACTAAATTCCTAAGGTAATTCCTCATATCCGTATTGATCTTTATTCATTTCAAATAGTTTCTGAAAGTTATTTACGTATAAAAATGCCTACTTATAATTTAGTACTAATGGAAACTTCTATTTATCGTTAGATACGTGAGCCAAAAGAAGTTAGAGTGAAGGATAAACTGAAATTCACAGCATTTAAACAATTTCTTCTCACGTATTTGAAGGGTAATTGAGGATCATTGAGGGTAAATGTCATATTTTACATCTACGCATTACTTTAAAGAGTGCTTATAGCTACGTTCTGCATTAAGAACAAATGGTGTAGTGGAATAAAATACAGAGTTAGTTACAAACGAGCTAGTGTGGACTTCACGTTCCAGTTTAAGTGATGTGAATGGTTGGTGCAACCCTGCCCTGGTCCCTTTATGTGTTTTCTATCTATTATGCTATCTATTGAATTATCATAAATATGAGTTTCCTAATTTAAAATTGGACTTGAACGCCATCTCTAGTCATATTTACCACTGGAAAGCTCTGGAATAAAAGTGTCCGAGTTGGGCGGTTTAAGATTTTAAGTTAATATATATATATATAAATTAGCAACATATTCACATGTTTACAGCTCTCTCACATTGGATATACACGGGTATACACATACAATTGTGTACCAGTGTTTTAATTTTTGATTGTTTTTATTTCAAATGATCTATTTATTTAAATTGTAAAATTTTTATGATTAAATTAAAAATTAAAATTAGTTAATTTTGAACCCAAAAAAAGTTACGTAGTGTACTTTTCATTTTAGTAAGAGTTTTAATTTGAATGGTTTAATTTCATCTTTATTTTTTATTTTATGATATAATACATTTTTGTGTTTTATTTAGATTTTTTGTAAGCTCCGCTCAAGAACGCCATATCTAGTCCTATTTACAACTGGAAAGCTCTGGAATAAAAGTGTCCGAGTTGGGCGGTTTAAGATTTTAATATATGTATATCTCAATATTAATATTTAATATATATTTTAAAAAAAAATTAGCAACACATTCACATGTTTACAGCTCTCTCACATTGGACAATGCTAAAATGACATGCAGGTATACACATAAAATTGTGTACTAGTGTTTTTATTTTGATTGTTTTTATTTCAAATGATTTATTTATTTAAATTGTTACATTTTTATGATTAAATTAAAAATTAAAAATTATTATTTAAATTTAGTTAATTTTGAACCAAAAAAAGTTACATAGTGTACTTTTCATTTTAGTAAAATTTTAATTTGAAACATTTTGAATTTGAGTTTTAATTTGAATGGTTTAATTTATCTTTATTTTTTATTTTATGATATAATACAAAGCATGGTTTAATCTATCTTTATTTTTTATTTTATGATATAATACAAAGCATGGTTTAATCTATCTTTATTTTTTATTTTATGATATAATACAAAGCATGGTTTAATCTATCTTTATTTTATTTTATGATATAATACAAAGCATGGTTTAATCTATCTTTATTTTTTATTTTATGATATAATACAAAGCATGGTTTAATCTATCTTTATTTTTTATTTTATGATATAATACATTTTTGTGTTTTATTTTGATTTTTTGTAAGCTCCGCTCAAGAACCCCAGTATGGGAAACCCTGATGTAAATAATCTCATTGTTGTGTGTTGTGTAAGAAGGTCTGCTCACACTGATGACTGATGTTCTGTGCGTTCCCCTGAGCGCCGGGTTGAGGTTGGGTGTTGTGGTATGAAGAGTAATTCTGATCCTGTGAAACGTACAGATCAAGCATGTAATAAAGCCCATCACATGTGCTTTTCTCCGATGAGAGCATGTGATGTGAATCTCGACCTGTGTTGGTAAGAAGTGCTCCTGCTGTCGAAGGAAGCTTGCCCTTCTCATCATGTATTGGTGGATGAGATGGGCCTGCCGCTCCTTCTTCCTCTGGGCGAGACAGACGTATATGGGCTTGGAGTCGATGATGCGGCAGTTCATCTCAGTAATGGCTCTGGTGGCCTCTTCAGGACAGGAGAAGCAAACGAACCCGAAGCCTTTACTGCGGCCGCCGTCTGTCATCACCTGAATGAAGAAGGAAAAAAAACACAATCCTGGATCTATGGCTGCTGTTTTATTTGCATTTTTTATTTCTGTATGATGAAAAATGAATTCCTACCTTAGCGCTGGTGATGTTCCCGTATGGCGAGAACTCTTTGAGGAGAAGATCGCTGTCTACGCTGTCGCTCAGGTTCTTGATGTACAGATTCACTCCCTGTCAGGATGATCAAAGTGTGTTCACAAGACTGACAACTAGAATAGGAACAGCAATGTTAGCTATAATAACTAATAACTATAATGATGATCCCTAACTAGAATGATAACTATATTGGTATGCACACCAGCAGATGATAACTAGAATAGCTTTAACTATCATGATTAATCTAATGTTAACTTTAAAATACACAAATAAAAGGATAACTACTGATAACTATAATTATAACTTTAACAATAGCTATAATGATGGCTATAACAATACTATTAGCCTACTATGATGATAAATCTAAGAACTATACTGATTATGCTAATGATAACTCTATAATACCCAAAGATAACTACAATAAATGCAATAACTAACATTATAACTTTACAATTAACTATAATAACTCTAATCATAACTATAATGATAACTAATAATGATTATTAACAATAACCATAATAACTATAACCATAAATGCAACAATAACTGTAAAGCTATCTATAACACTACCTGTAATAATCATAACTTTAATAATTAACTATAACCATAAAAATACTTGTTTTATATTACTATATTATATTAACGTGTTTATTACAAGCACGCGCTGCAGTTTTGTTGTCTGCCACTTTAAATGCTGACTTTCTTTAAAGGTGGATTCTGATTGGCTGTAAATGTTTTTATTGTTTATCAACTGAAAAATCAAAGAGTCATGGTGTCCACTTCCCTATTTTTTAGAGCAATTAGAGGATTAGAGCAATTGTAAAAGCATAGTTATCGTTATAAATCGTCCTTGGTGTGCAAGCATGGCCCTTTAATGAGAGTATTAATTTCAGAGGCGTCACTGGTACCTGACAGCGCATGATGTTCTCCTGTTTTAACTGTTCAAAGCGTCGCTTCAGTTCCACCTGACGTTCTCGTCTCTTCTGAGCTCGGCCCACGTATATGTGTCTGCCGTTCAGCTCCGTCCTGTTCAACTTGTCCACAGCCTTGGGGTTATATAACACACTTCTCTTATTTATCTGGACCTCTGAGGTCCACGTATAATCAGTGTTAGGGGTTATGCATTACAAGTAAGTTGAGTTATGTAATCAGATTACTAGTAAAGTAACGCATTACTTTTAAATATCTGAGTTCCTTTTGCAAGAAATTTACGCAAGTTACTTTTTTTTCTACTGTTATTGACTGACAGCTCTCCTGTGCCTGTGTTGAGAGAAATCATGAGTAAGTGCAGCATTGTGAGAGCTATGTTATAGTAGTTCTAGAATAAATGTGACCAGGTATTTACTCTCACTTGCAAAAAAAATATATTTAAGTTTTATTTCTTCCCACAAACTTTTTACATTTTGTAGTCATTCAGTCCCGTTCCAGTACGATTCTGTCTTCTTCAAGGTTTTTTTATTTTTTCATTGAGAATAAAGTGCCGAAGTGATGATGTCACTTTGTAGGACAACTCGGAAGTTAGCGGCGCATAAGTTCCCTAGGTCGAAAAGCTATGCATTTTCCCCATAGACTTGTGGAAAATCGCCAAAAATTAGATCTGTGTTCAACAAAGAGTTGTGACCCTTACACATTTTGTCTATCAAGATAATCTTTAATCCAAAAGTTAATCCAAAATGTATACATTTGAAGCCTATATAAAGTTTTAAAAAACACAAGCAGGTTATAATTGGTCAGTTTTATGCCATAGATCACAACGTGAAAATATTTAGAGGTTTTGTTCACCACAGACCTTATTTCAGGCAATTTAGCAAAAACCCATTAAAAAACACAACCGGGAGTGCTAAAATGCTAACTCACTTGTGCTTATTAAATTTAATTCATATTAATATGAATAAAAAAAAGAATTCATATTAATATCTAAGAATTTATATATATATATATATATATATACACAGTAGGTGTGTGTATACACAGACAGACATTATAATATATACAAATATAATAATTTATACAGTACACACATATTGTGTAAGCAAAAACTTTTAGGTTAGATGTGATTAATCGATTTGACAGCACTAAAAGCATATCAATTATCCTAAACTACTGTATGTAGCAGAATGGGAGTGTGAAAAAACCTCATCATAAGAGCCATTTGGGACACAACTTATGGGGTCTTGTGTTTAAATGGGAGACAAAATTTGAAAAAAGCAGCATTGACTTCTAAAAATTGTGAAGTTTAAAGCACAGAACCAGACAAATGCTGCCAATAGGATCCTTTGCAGCCCATAATATTCCTAATTGTGTGCATGTGCTTTGCTGTTGGTTGAAAGAAGAAAATAGCCTTGTGATGGAGTGTTTCAAATCAGTAAACACTCAAACACACAGATCACTCTTTTCCCTCGTCTGGTTCTCTGTTTCATCTCTCACCTGCTTGGCATCATCGTGTTTCTCAAAGCTGACAAAACCAAATCCTCTAGAGTTTCCCCTCTCATCCGTCATGACCCGGACGCTCAAGGTTGGGCCTAAAATAAAAAGAAAAGTGTGAAAGATGCAACAGAACAAGATAACAAGTTTCATCTATACTTCCATAAAACAAATCCTCACCGAATTTGCTGAATATCTCAGTCAGTGTCTTGGAATCCACATCTGCTCCAAAGTTCTTGATGTAAATGTTTGTGAACTGTTTTGTTCTCTCCTGCAATTCAGCCTCGCGCTGCTTTTTCGATTTGAAGTGGCCGACGAACCTTAAAGGTGCGACAAATGAAACTCATTGTAATTAGTTACTGTACTTCAGTATCTTTTTGGCTACTTTGTACCTTGTCTGAGTAAGTTACTTTTACTCTCGACTTGACTACGTTTTTGAATAAGTATATGTACTCTTTACTCCAACATTTGAAATGAGTATTACAAACTACATTTTGCATGTCACCTATTTCTAGGTTTATTTGTTACAAAAGCGATATCCCCATCTACAGGGCAATGAAGGTACTATATATTGTGTGCTTTTCCCTTGTTCACCCTTGTTTAAAATACTTTAATGTGAGTATGACAAGCCGTTTTAACTTTTAATCATTTCCAGGATATGAATTCTTGATATCAACAATTCAGTTTTCACTAGTTAAAATAATAGTTATTGATATCAGGAATTAGATTTCTTCTAGTAACAATGGCAATTTTTGATATCAGAAATTACATTTCAACTAGTAAAAAGTTTCATTCTTGATATCAACGATTCAATTTTAACTAAACGGCAGCCTATAGTGACATTTCACTAGTGAAAAATACAATTACAGATATCAGCAATTAAATTGTTGATATCAATAATTAAATTTTTTTATATAAAAAATGAAATTGTTGATATCAAGAACTCATATCCTGGAAATGAATAAAAGTTAAAACGGCTTGCCATATGTGAGTGCATTATCAGCTAGTTGCAGGATATTTGAAATGAGGACATGACGTCCAGACAGTGCATGTAGGCATTGACTTTTTTTAGGCTTTAATTATAAATAACATTATTTTATTAACACTATATAGAAGGCCTTTTTGAATGATATGGGTAATTTATGCCCCTTTTGAGCACTTGAGCTTAACTGAGAGATTTTGTAGACATCTAAAAGGCTGTTGTGTCGACCTTGATTTATTGCAATATTGAGGTTTTCAGTTTTATTTCAACTTTACAAAAAAATTAAATAAACATGTGATTGCTTGTGAGTGCATCTTTTATTTTACAGTACTTTAGTAGCCTATGTTAAAATCTATGGAAGCTTGTTTCCGCCATTGAACATATAAAAAAATTCGACATTTTTCTCACAATTGCGAGGTAGTCAGAATTGCGAGAAATAAAGTCGCATTGAAGAAAAAAATGACATAATTTAGACTTTTCATCTCGCAATTCTGACTTTATAACACATAATTCCGAGTTTAAACCTCGCAATTCTGACATCTTATGTGAGATATAGGCTTTTGCGAGTTATCAGGCCAATTCTAAGGGGGAAAAATACTACCTTTTTCCCCCTCAGAATAGTTTATATCTCACAATTCTGACTTTTAAAACGCAATTGTGAGAAATAAAGTCAGACTTGCGAGATGTAAACTCGCAATTGTAAGAAGAAAAAGCTAAAAAGTCGCAATTTACCTTTTTATTTTCCATTCTATGGGGAAGCTTCTATAAAAATCAGGTTGTAGCCATTGGAATTGGTGACTTGCAGTGAAGTCATTTTTGCTGTGAGGTATCTGTAGCCTACTTTTCCCTAAGCTTTTCAGGTAACGTTACTCTTTTTAACTTTAAGACTCAACATGACGAAATCGATGCATTTAGTCACGACTTACACTTTCAGCTCGTTGATCAACATGCCGTTTAATTTCATGATGGCTTTTTCAGCAGCTTCACGCGTCTCAAAGTGCACATATCCAAAGCCCTTGGATCCGTTTTCATCACAACACACCTTAATGAAAAGAAACGTGCTTCAGATTCTCCTGCGCTGGATATTTATCTCTTATAAGAGCTGGAGGTGGAGAACGTTACTTACTTTACAGGACAAGATGTTTCCAAATGATGAGAAGATGTCAAACAGGCCCTCGCTGTCAATGGATTTCTGCAGGTTCTTGATGAAGACGTTTCCCACGCCACTCTTCCTCAGGGAAGGGTTTCGCTGACACCACATTAGACGCATTGGCTTGCCCTTCATGAGGTCAAAGTTCATGGTATCCAAGGCTCGTTCGGCTACGATGTAAAGGAGATCCAACGTTACAATGAATTTCTTGAATAATTGGATCATTTTAAGTGCATGATTTTCAAATGCTTTTTGTTTATTGATTCCTCGCAAATCAATAAACAAGTGGCAATCAGAAATGTGACAGCCATATTCACTGCAAAAAAATTGTCAGAAGTAGGCTATAAATATCTAAAAATTCTTAAATGCATAAATTGATTTGAGATGAAAAAAACATAACATGCAAACTGTAGCCTATAAAATGTATTTTTTTGCTTTTAAAATAATCTGCCAGTGCATGGTTAAGAAAAATAATCTTGTTTTCTCTTTGAATTAAGTTTATTTTTCTCATCCCATTGGCAGAGATATCTATAATCCCGATTAAATCTAACATTTTTAGAAAACAAGACTTAGGCTATCTAATGTAATTTTGCATATTAGATATATGCATATTATTTTAACTTATATCAAAATGAAGTGAGTTTATGCTTACAATGAGAAAAAATATCTGCCAATGCGCTCTGAAAAACAGCAGATATTTTTCAAGAAAAAAAATCACTTCATTCTTATTTTTTTCAGAAATGTAATTTTTTTTAACTAAACAATCCTTACATATTTTTAATTGAATAACTGAACAATCCTTAATCAATTATTCAATTGAAATAGGCTACAAGGTTATTCAATGCGTAAATCTTAAAATGCTTAATTTATTTGAGTGCATAATGGTAAGTTATATCAATTCATTCATTCCATTATAACTTGTTTCAAATATTGTTTCCTATGCTCTATGGAATAGCATGGAAAAAATACTAAAAATAGTAAATTCAAGAAAATCAGAAATTAGGCCTATAGGTTACAGAAATTGACATTTACTGGAGTGACATAGGAAATTGACATTTACTGGAGTGACATAGGACTTTCTTTCTTTCTTGCTTAGGTAAGTTACAAAAATATTTCACGAAAGACTTGTGAAATCAATCACACTGGTCAGTATTGTGTTATGGTGATGTTCTCAATCGTCTCACCATCAGTGGGTTTCTCGAAGTTCACATAGGCGTATCCGAGCGAGCGGCACGTGACTTTATCTCGACAGACTCGGACTGACTGAACCGAACCGACAGACCCGAAGCGCTCGAACAGCATGGCTTCAGTCACGTCCGGCTCCAGATCGCCAACATACAGCGAGCTGTTCACCCTCATCTTCATCAGATATTAGGAATATTATAATTAATGATCGATGCAGAACTGAAAGCAGCCGAGATTCAATCTGCCAAACGCTTATAACGATCAACGAATCGGATTTAAAAGATTCAGTCAGATCATAAATAAACATTCCGTGTATCTTCATCGTTTTATTCTGCACTCTGAAAAACAACACAAAATCACATCTTGACATGGGCATGATTGCATTCATGGCGATTTTTATCTTATTTAACGTATTACAATTATACGTTTGAGTGTTTTTAGTGTCAATGCTTTATTGACTCGTTGTGGACCTTTTCTTGCGGTCACTTGTTGCATGAAAAGACTCGCGAGTTGAGAGTTTAATATAAAAAACTTTTTTGTGTTGCTCAAAAGGGTAAATCATGAACAAAAGTTTAATTTTAAGTGTTTTCAAGGATTTATTTTAATTGTTTGAAACATTTTAAGCCCTCTCCATCTTAATCTTATTAGAATATGAATTTTGTATATTATAATATACCGTAGTGGTTAAAAGTCTGGAAACATTACTATTTTTTGTTTTTGAAAGAAGTATCTTATGCTCATCAAACCTGTGTTTATTTGATCAAAAATACAGAATAAAAAAACAGTAATATTTGTGAAATATTATTACGATTTAAAATAATGCTTTTCTATTTTAATATACTTTAAAACGTAATTTATTTCTGTTACCAAAGCTGAATTTTCAGCACCATTACTCCAGTCTTCAGTGTCATATGATCCTTCAGAAATCATTCTAATATGATGATTTATAATCAATGTTGGAAACAGTTGTGCTGCTTAATATTTTTTTGTAACTTGCATGATAGAAAAAGATAAAAAAAAAAATAAAAAAAAGAACTTTTCTATCACATTTTATTAATTTAACATCCTTGCTGAAAGTCTAATAAAAGTATACATTTCTTTAAAAAAAACAAAAAACATTTCTGACCACAAACTTTTAAACATAGGTGTATATTGTCACAAAAGACGTGTTTTAAATAAATGCTGTTCTTTTTTTTTAACTTTCTAATCGCTAACAACGAGCTGTTGGTTTTGTAGTTGATGAAACAGCTTTATTCTAAGGTCACATAAGGTCCCGACACATTGTTTGGAATGTAAATGTTTATTAACACTTTGCCGGATTTTTACCCCAAACTTTCAATAGCAAAACATGACAAATATTGATATGTAACAATAATAAATAATATGTAAGAAACATAACACATGAGTGCGGTGTGTGATGTGCTCTGTTCGTGTAACAGCAGATGGCAGAAGAACACAAACCCACTGAAGGTCAATTTCAGCACGGATCGTCTGTTTATGAGTGTTCGTACACCAAAGTCCTCTGCTCCGCTAACATTCATATTCATCTTGTGTTGTGGCATCCCTTAAAGTCCCTGAGCGATCTCATCTGCAGGCTTCAGCATCATTTCTAGTGTTCATCAGTATCTGCTGTGTTCATCTGTCGCAGTCACAATAACATCCATCCAGATTCTCATGGCTTCGGCGCTGTGAGCCACGAGGAAAAACAGACGCTCGTATGTTTTCACACAGAAGGTGAGACTGGGCCGTGGAGACTGAGAATGGGAAGTACAGAAATGTGTCAGAAACCCTGATAAACGGTGGTTTTACCACATGACCATGGGTTACTTTGCTAATTAGTTAGGGTTAAGGTCCTTGCACACTGAGCCCGAAATTTTCGTACGCGTTTTTTCGTATTAGTGATTCGGCGGCTGTGAATTGTGAAAACATCATTCAAAATGCTTGATAGAGTTGCGAAAAACGCAGAAAATCGAACCCGATCTGAATTGTTCTATGACGGACGTGATTGACAAAACATGAGGTTGTATTTATTTTTTAACGTGCGGAAATTCTGGACTAAGTGTACAAGGGCCTTTAGAGTCAATCATTTCAGACTGTGGTCAGTTTTTACTCCATAGGAGGAGGCGTATGAACTCACTGATGTAGCTGTTCGTAGATGATCGTAATAAACCTCCTCGATGGCCTGAAAGTAAATGACCCCTTTGAGTTTCTTCTCATCTAGTTCTGAGAAAACAACAAAAAGAACATTGAGATTTCAATGAGAAAGCAGCAGATATTCATCGGATTTCAGCTGAAGTGTACTATACACTGGGAATACTTTCAGTGTGACGTGTTAATCCAACTTTCTGTCAGCCAAACCCTGTAGATGTCAAATGTTTTTCTTGCAGTCTCCCCAAGATAGTCAATATTTCAATAATTGAAGTATAAATTCACATGTTCACGGTTCTCTGATGACGGTTAATGGTCACATTCAGGGTTACGATAGTCAACTAAAACTATACAAAATAAATTGTTACTACTAATATAATAAACAATAACTGAAATAAAATAAAACATAAAATTAATCTTTTTTTTCAGCAAGTTGCCAAAGCAACATTTCTCATTTTCATTTGGTTTTAACTTGATGTACTAAGTAAAAATAAAATTGAACTAAAAACAACTAATACAATTTCAAAAACAAACATAAAAATTACTAAAACTTGCATAAAAATGAATATGAAAAAAAAAAATCACATGCAATCACAAGTAAACAGATAAAAAATATATGTTTTATTGTTTTGTTTGTTTTTTTATGTCAAATCCTTGAGCTTTTATTTTGGCGAATATTGGTGAAATGCCGAACTGTAGGAAATGATGCAAATGTGAATGTAAATTTCCAAATGCAGCCCTATTTGAACGTTGGGATTGAATAATTATTAGCTTTGAACCCCCTCTGGAAAACAGTGTTAATGGAAGCATGGTTGTAATATCTTCTCTTTTCCTCACCGGTGTAGTATGCCAGTCTCTGGTGGTCCAGATCAAAGATAAACCACCTCCTCCTCCACGTCTTCACTCGACCTCCGCGCTTGGTTAGAAAGCCGCCACACCGCCGGGGAGACAGATTAACTCCCATACACCCGGTCACGTTATGACCCAGAGACTCCACGTGAGCGCGCAGGTCAAAGTTCGCCGTCAGAGAAAGCGGGACACCCAGCTGTACAGAGTAGAGGAAATAAACAAGATATAAGCACAACTGAAATGAAAATGCTCAGATTGAAACATGCAGTGTTTCCTGTGCTGATTTTGGGGGGACATTCTACAGGTTCAACAGAATGGGTTTAAAAATAGTATAAAGCGTATTAAACAGAGTACTCTTAAAGGTATAGTTCACTTTAAAAAGAAAATTGTGTCCTCATTTACCCACTCTCAAATTATTTCAAACCTGTATGAGTTTCTGTCTTCTGTTGAACACAAAAGAAGATATTTTGAATGAAGAATGTTGGTAACCAAACAGTTGATGGACCACAATGCAACATTGACACTATTATTGACCTGAACTGAATCGACATTAAATCCGACTTGAGCTGAGCTGAATATGAGGCTATTATTCACACAACACATTTTTCCATTCTACTGCGCTACCATGTAAACACACGCTAGACGGACATGATCGCGCTCACGCTCACGTCTCCTAATTTTTATTTATTATAAATGTTATATCACTGTCTTCGATAAAGTTTTGTTTATCCATTTATGGTGTTTTTTTTATTATTTTGGGGGTATTTTTGAATTTATTTACTTCAAAAAGTACCATATTTTCTATGAAAATTATCCTTATTTTTATGTTTTATTTAAAAAAAATGTTTTAACTACATTAAAATATCATTCCAATAAGTTTTTAGAGCTAAAAACTAAAGATGAAGTGACTTTGCTGTCACCTGGTGTCTTATTTTAGAATGCTCTAAATTAGTTTTTCCCATTCATTTCTATGGGTGCCATTTTGGACCAAAATACAAGATTAAGGAGTTGTTTTTTTTCCACCCACTTAACATTGTAGAATTGAGTCAAAAAAATGGTGTGTGCTCAGGAGGCAAACGTAGGAAAAGTAGCCAAGTCTTGTACCGCTCAGATCAAGGGAAGTATTTTTTTTCAAATAAATCAAAACTATTTTGCCCACATATCTGTCCAGAACACGGTTTTAGGGTTAAAAGACACGTCTCGTGGTTTTCAAAGCAAAAATGTGTTCTGTGTGAACCAGCCCTAATGAATCTATTGTCTTCTATAGGGCTGCTTTACTGAAACTGAATTTACTTGAAATTAATTTTGCAACATTAACATGGTTATCTTCCTGTTTTCTCATGCCATCTGTTCAAAGACTTATAATGTAAGTATATATGTTTGAGTCAGACTTTGGGCCCTATTTTAACGATCTGAAACGCAAGTATCAAGTAAATTTGTGGGCGGGTCTTGGGCCCTGTTGCCATTTTACCGGAGGGACAACGCGCAACGCAACACTGACTTTAGACCAGGTTGGTGGTCAATGTTGGAATTGTTTTCTGAAACTGCAAAATAGTACTACAAGTTCATTTCCTAGTTTACCGACGTGCGTCTGTGGAAGGAGTGCAAAATAGGAATGATACATGCGCTAGAGTATGAAGTCATTTGCGCTGGGTGCAAGATAGGGCCCTTAGAGTTTGACAGAACAAATCACTGTCAGCTTTCAATATATGGAAAACGAATCTCCATTTGTGTTTCACGAATGTAAGAAAATACATGAGGGTGAGTAAATGATGTCAGAATGTGTATTTTATTTCAGTAGTGTCAATCCTCAGACGTACCTCGGGCGTCCTGTGCGGTGAGTTCATTTGCAGCCGCTCCTCAGCAAGTGGCTCTAGTTTTGATGTATCCGTGTGTGTTTTGAAAGATTGCCGCTCCTTCTGTCTGTGTTGCTCAGCTAACAGCCGCTGACGCTCCTCCTGCATCCAGACAAACGGAGACAAGAAACTGCCGTCAGACTGTGTTAGTTTGGATTCCTTTGGAAATATTTTCATTGGTGGAAAAACAACATATGAATTGGCCAAACTTTCACTTAATCACATAATCTCACATAATATGCCTTATTCACGTCAGCGCCATCTTTGATTTTTAATGAGAATGAAAGCGAGGCTGTGACTGTGATGGATAGACATGCATCTCTTCAATGGGCTGTACTGTTATTTAATGTGTTTTCGGATTGTTCTGCTCATGAAACACTGGAAAAATATCTTTACAAGAAATTTTAGTTAACAAAAAACTCCTGACAATGTAAGCTGTGGAAAATTGTAAGTAATCTAGCCGCTTTATTCAGCTTTTTACAGTGGATGCCATTGGAAACACGGTAAGTCTATCCCTCACAGCCTCACTTTCATACCTGTCATGGTGCTGCTCTGAATAAGGTCTATTATCTCACATAATTCAGATTTCATCGAATAACCTTGATCAATCAATAATTGTGACGGGCCTATTGGATGAAAGTCTCTTTTAAATGAGGAAATGCAAAGGTAAATGTTGATGGAGCTGCTGCACGAACAATTGCGCTGTTGGTCTCAAAATAAGTCATGTGATCATATGCACAGCTGAAGATGCGAGTCAGCAGATGAATTATTGATTTTGTTGACATTATATTAGAAAAACAAACAAGCAGATGTCTCTTGTGAGCTCTTTAACAATGATGATGATGTATTTTGCGGTTTTGTATGATTTGCAGTGATCAGTATTGTTGTGGTTGTGTCGGGTCAGTAACTCACTCTCTCTTTCAACAGACGTTCCCGCTCTGCTTTGGCCTCTCTGAGTTTCCGTTCGATCTCCACCAAATCCAAGAGGTTCTGAGGGCTGTAAAGGTGAAAGGTCACGTGATCCGATTTTAGATTTTAAGGAACTCTTAATACTAATGCAATTAATGTCCAATAAAGGGACATAATTACACGTAATTAATTACATTTTCCCATATTCTGTGACCTAATCTGAAGTGAGAACTATTTATGCTTAATAAGTTGTTAACAAAGCATTATCTATCTCTTTACATATGAGCCAATTAAACAATAACACTTAATTACAGTGAAAATGAATGAAGAACTCAGTATTTGTACAGTCTATTAATGTATTAAAGGAGTAGTTCACTTTTTAAACTTTTGCTGATAATTTACTCAGCCCCTTGTCAATCAAGAAAAGAAAAGAAATTAAGGTTTTTGATGAAAACATTCCAGGATTTTCTCCATATAATGGACTTCATTGGGAACAAACCGGTTCAAGGTCCAAATGAGAGTTTCAGTGCAGCTTCAAAGGGCTTTAAACGACACCAGACGATGAATAAGGGTCTTATCTAGGACCCTTCGAGTCATTTTGATGAACGAGTTCGAACAGGAGAGTCATGAATGCTCATCACAGAACAGAGCAAGGTGACCATTTGAACTTATAAAACTTAAACTTTAGTATTTATGTATTAAATGAGCGATCGTTTCACTTGATAAGACCCTTTTTCATCGTCTGGAATCGTTTAAAGCCCTTTGAACAGTTTGCAGTTTGCACTGAAACTGTCTTTTGGACCTTGACCATTTGGTTCCCATTGAAGTCCATTATATGGAGAAAATCCTGGAATGTTTTCATCAAAAACCTTAATTTCTTTTCGACTGAAGAAAGAAAGACATGGACATCTTGGATGACATGGGGGTGAGTAAATTATCAGCAAAAGCTTTTTTAAAAGTGAACTACTCCTTTAACTACAGTTTAAAAACTATTAATTGACCATAAACTAATAGTTTGCAAATTATTAATAAGGGCTTTGTTACCAAATATATATATTGCTTTACATGAGTGTTCTGAATGTATGCAAATAAAGCTGGATATACTTAAATACACAACTTCATATATATTTATGGGCTTATATAGTATATAATACATAATAAATTATAATAAGAGATTCAATTCAATTAAAGCCATTATTATCTAAACATCTTCCCTTCTGGCAAAGCAATGAAATTTCGATGTTTGATGTCATTTTTTGGTTTACATGCATCACTAATGAGACACACTAGTATGTGATTTACTTCATTTAGATCTGTTTCTCACACAAATCCTTTGACTAGAAGACACGAGTCATATGGACTCTGTTATGGTGAATTTTGTCTATTGAAATTTGACGGTCCAGGTCATGGACTATGAATGAATTGTTGTTGTATGAAAACAAGCTACATTAAAATAGTGCTTATTAAAGCACTAATAATAAAGCTGCATTAAAAATGCTCCTATTATGTTCCAGGCCAGGGTATAAAGTTCCCAGAATTCAATTCACCCACACGCAGTAAGTTTAATGTTTACTCACAAAAACTTCAGATTCATATGCCTCAAATAAAAGGTTTCTCACACCCATGTAAACACACACCTGTTAGAGCTTCATGTACAGATTATTCAGTATTATGATAGGAACACAAAGCCAGGCTGCTGTTCTGTGCCACTCACCTGGGCGCGCGGGAGGTGTTGGCGCTGTTGCATGGCGCGTGAGAGCCGTTCCCATCGGTCTGCGCTGATCTCAGCCCATTATAATGTCCATTACTCAGTCTGTGGGTGTGATGAGCAAGGCGAGGCGACAGAGCCTCTGAGGATGGTCTGTCTGGAGTCATTCGCACCGACACTGCCATATGAAAGCAACGGGACACATTACATTTACATTCAATCATTGATTAGGCGCTTCTGGCTAATAAACATACAATAATTAGAACCACCTTTTAAAATAATGTTAACTATGGAGTTTTTGCAAAGAGATTGATTCTCCAAAGGTGGAAACTGGACATTTAATGTGTGATTAGGTGAGAATGAACATTATACATTGAGAGATTATGATCTTCCAATAATGATAAATTAGATTTCTATATCGTATTTCTGTACATTTACATTTATTCTAATTTTTGATTTAGTTTATCTATTCATGTCTTCATGCTGTAACCACTGTGGTCTTTTGACTTGACTAACCTTCTTGTATTGTATGCATTATATTACATTTATTTTATTTGTTATTTATGTAGATTTAAAATTTACCATTCTGTTAAGCCTTGCCTTATCGGAAAACTAAATGTTTATGTTTTTATGTATAAAAAAATAAATACCAGGAACCATTATAAAAGTTAAAACGTTGGCGTACAGTACTGACAATGAGATTTACCCATCTTTTACAATTCTTAAAAAAAGTTTTTTATATTCAAAAAAAAAAAAAAAAATTCAGGTCACATGATTTCATGGAAGGAAAAACCACAAGCAATATATCAAACAGATATCAAGAGTTATGAAATGAGGTTCAACCACTCTTAATAGGTGTTTTGTTGTCTAGTAGTTTGCAGCAAATGAGTTTTAGTAGTTTGCAGCAAAAATCATGTGACCTGAATTTTTTTTTTAGAATATAAAAAAGAATATTTTTTTTAAGAATTGTAAAAGATGGGTAAAATTTCATTGTCAGTACTGTACGCCAACGTACAGTACAGTACTGACAATGAGATTTTACCCATCTTTTACAATTCTTAAAAAAAGTTTTTTATATTCTAAAAAAAAAAAAAATTCAGGTCACATGATTTCATGGAAGGAAAAACCACAAGCAATATATCAAACAGAAGCAAGAAGAGTTATGAAATGAGGTTCAACCACTCTTAATAGGTGTTTTGTTGTCTAGTAGTTTGCAGCAAATGAGTTTTACTATGGCTCAAACACACTGTGGTATCCTGACCTGTATGCAACACACACAAACGTTGTGTTTTCATGTTTTACGGGGACTTTCCATAGACATAATGATTTGTATGCTGTACAAACTGTATATCCTCTCCTCCTACACTAACCCTACCCCTAAACCTACCCATCACAGAAAACGTTCTGCATTTTTACATTTTCAAAAAACATAATTTATTATGATTTATAATTTTTTTTCCTCATAGGGACCAAAAAATGTCCCCAAAAGTACAAGGATTTTGTGGGGACATTTTCTCTTTCCATCATCATCATCATATAAAAGGTGAAATCAAATCAAATCAGGAAGTGCAATAAAATAAAGTCACATCCCATAATTTAATCATTAACTCTTAATTTCATTAGCACTTTATTTTATAGTCCTGCTCTGCATGTATATAATGTACTTATTACAGCAATTACAATAACTGGGTTATAACTAGGTACTAACCCTAAACTTAAAGTTACCTTATATTACCAGTACTTTCTTAGGTAAGTACGCTGTTAATACACATACTTTAAAATAAAGTGTAACCAGGTTTCTTATAGACTAATCTATGTAAAGAAGGTGCACATGAACCTTCGCACACAGACACTTTTCCATAGAGTTTCTTTGTTTGATCAATTCCTTCGTGAGATAAACGACTGTCAGGATTATTATAGACAAACAAAAGCACAACTGTGTGCAGTTGCAGTGGCTCCACTCGCTTTTCCAGTGTGTGTCAGCAACACAGACACACCTTAACGAAAAAACACTGACAAAAGCTTTTCACAGCTAATAAGCCACGACATGCAGGACTGACGTTTGGCTGTTGTACTTAGTTTTCTTGTTTTGCATGCTGCCTGTTGTCTGTGCATTCATCCTCTTGCACAATTGTGTTTCTGTCTGACCTACTTACAGTCTGAGTGCCAGTTTATCACACCAGATATTTGTGTTCAAGCATCATTGCAATATATCTCAAAGCTTCACCTGATTGGTGTGCTCACCTTGCGCGGAGAGAGGTCTATCTGAGACTTTCCTATGCGAGCTCCGTCTGCGGGGTAAGCTGGTCGTATCCTTCAATGATTCCTAGGGACATGGTTTCGAACACAGTCAATGTGCTGACCGCAGCAAACTCATGAATCGCTAAAGGTCTAGATGTCAAACCATCTAATGCACATTCACAGTGTACCTGTGCTGCTTTGTGAATGGTCAGAGGGCTGAGTGACATCATGCAGGGGGTGGATCCAGTGATGTTGGACCAATCAGTGAGAGGCTTCTTCTCTTTCAAAATCTACAAAGGCAAATGTCCTTGATGTTTAGCATGTGAGTGAGAGACACATCCTGACCAATGCTGTTATATTAGTCACATGAAGAGGTACAATATTAAACCAAAAACTTAGGCTACAAGACAATAATAACTGAAGTTATTAAGACAACACATTACCAAAACATAAATGATCACAATAAGACATTAAACTACATTCATACAGGAAAGAGGCTCTGTCCTAGTGCACTGCCATGCTGTCTACATAGTTAAAAGCTGTGTGTGTCATAGAAACAGAGAATTCACAATTGATTTCAAAAGAGTTTGGCATTAGAATGTTGTTGTTGTGAATGTTATGAGCATAAAAGTACACACAACACACAAATATTGGGTAAAACAATTATTTAAATTACATTATTTTTAGCTTTTCATCAACTCAAAAAATAGACATTAAATGATAAAAATGTAAAATTAGAATACGTAAAAACATTAAAAAAACATTAAATATTGTATTTGTTGTTATTTGAATAATTTAACAACACATTTGCATGTTCATGGTTAGGTACATCATGTGACCAATAACTCCCATTAGACAGGGTATATGCAGGAAACTTGAAGTTAATTTTAATACCTTTTCAAGACTTTTTCAAGACCTCAATATTTTTTAATACCTCACCGCCACTTCAAGCTGTAACCATTTACATCATTGATACTCACAGTTTTAGTTTGTGATAAAGACTACAGACCACTCTGATACAAAAAAATCAAATAGGCTGGGATAGTAAATCAAAGCAAAGTTTATTAAACTTCCCCATTCTGTTCATGAGTTCACCAACCTTCTATTAAAACATTTCGGTGCATTGTTTTTTATGTAGCTGTTAGTTTTTTTTTATAAAAATGACTAAATTCACACACTTTTACGATGTTTTTGGGACTCAAACTGTTGGACAGCTAATTCAGAAAAAATATTTTCATAATTTAAGACTTTATAAAGCCATGATAAGACTTTTTAATACTTTTTAAGGGTCTTAATTTTCCCAAAATTGGTTTATCACCTTTTAATACTTTTCAAGATCCCGTGGATACCCTGTTAGAGAACTTTGCACATACAAATGTGTTGTTAAACTATTAAAATATTAACTTAAAATTTCAGAGGGGGCTGAAAATAAAAATATTTTAGGTCAAATAACAAAAATGTTTGGGAACCCCTGCATTATGGAACGTCCTGCTCCATAATGGATACATCCAAAAAAGGCATCTTAAGAAGGCAGCTGTTACCTTTATAATCATTAAACCCAGAAGAGAATTATGCATTTTAATACATAATGCATTTTAGGAACTTCCCATGACTCTTTAAAATAGCATTTTTTTTTTAATTTTCAGGAAAATCTGAGTGATTTTAGGGGTTTTCTTCCCGTCTTCTGAGATTTTTTCAGCTGTTTAATGGTGCAGCAGGTGAAAATGGTGCGTCTGATCACTTAGTAAAGTAACAGCAGAACTCATCAACCAGTGCTGATATTGCTAAAACTAAAAATACAATTAAAATAAGTTAACAGAAATAATATACAATATAAAAAAGTTAACTTTTTTTTTTTTTTACTAAAAAATGACTTAACCGAACAACCAAGGAGAACTTTGCCGTGAGTATATCACTATCAGGGCCTTGAGAGTTAATATAAGTACTTATAGTCCTAGTGATTTATGACTTTATAACTGCAGCTTCAAGTTAAGCATCAATCCCACCCTCTGACTCACAGACACTCGTTTACAAAGTGCCACGGCAGATCAAACTATCTTTACTTAAAATATTCATTTCCTGTCATCTGAAAGCCAGATTTTTCCTTTTATACATTTTATACATGGGTAAACCAATTGTTTATTCAATAATTCAAGAAGGTCCAGACAGCTCTAGATCGCAGCCTCTGACTCACAGACACATGAGCGACTCCGAGGAACACATTCCTGTCTTTATTTCCTCCAGACCGTACATACAGACAAATCAGTCATAATTCAGTTAGACAGTCCGTCATGTTACTAGTTAACAGCTGCTTTATCCTCAATCCTGTCTTCTGTAAAGATCCCTCCCCACATTCCCTGTCTTTCCTGATCTGTCAAATCTGCGTGCCAGAATTAGATTTTTACAGAGCAGATTCACATCTCTTGAAGTACATTCAGACAGAAACACTCACCAGACGTGTGTTGAGTTTTGTAGGATATCTGCTTTCTATCGCTCAGTCCTCTCACACTTCCTGTGGTCCTTCCCTTCTCTGGGAATCCTGCCCTCTCGGACTCTCTCTTCCCTATCAGTAATTCATTCCTCCACCTACTTTATCCGTGACTGTAGTGTAACTATAATCACTATAACATAACTAAACGCTAGCATTAAAGCTGAGTCTGCGTGTCGACAACTTCCTCTTGAGTATTGAGTTTTTATTGCTATATTTTCATTGTAATTTTAGTCATTTTGGTTTTTTTTTTTTGGTGACAATATAATAGATAATGATATAATATAATAAGGTTCCATTTGTTAAGTAAGGGATAATGTTGTTATCGCAGAATAAACCCCGACACAGTGATCAGGAGGACTACTTGCCATATAATTAGACTCGAAATATTGACTTGATTTGAAATGTTTTATTAGCTCTTTAAAAAGCAAGGCTTTTGCAAAGAAAACAGTTGCTAACAAGCAGCAAGTTCAAACTAGATGGAAATTGAAGGGATTTGGTACAGTAATGCCACATAATACACAGCATATCTTCACATCAGTAATTATAAGGATACGAGATATTGATTTTAGAGAAAACTGTTTTAAAATCTTACCTGTTTATATCTTTTAATCCATTTCAGTGTACAAAACAATCATTGTAAAATAGCAGCAGCTGCGTTTGTATGAAACAAGAGATTCCCGGATTACATTAATATTTATTACCTCACCAAACGCAAAACTTCCACGAGGAAAAAAACGTTCCTAGCAAGCATTTAGCACTGACTTCGGTTACCCAGGTGAGCTTGTGTGATCAGTTTTTACTGGTTGACCAATCAGAATCAAGTATTCCACAGAGCCGCGTAATAACATTTGTTTACATGAACTAGAGTTTTACTTTAGCATACCTCTTCTCCATCTCTCGGTTCGAGGGGAGTAGTTAAGCATTTTCAATGTCAAACTGATGTCATCAGAGAAGGAACACCATTTAATATCGGAAGTAACTTTTCAGATTTTGATTAAAGATTACAACGACAAACTATTGTTGGTAACACTTTACAATAAGGTTCATTAGTTAACATTAGTTAACTACATTAGTTAGCATGAACTAATAATGAACAGCACTTTGTAATCTTTGTAAACGTTAATTTCAATATTTACTTATACTTTACTAAAATCTTGTTAACATTAGTTAATGTGCTGTGAACTAACATGAACAAACAATGAACAGCTTTATTTTTATTGTAAAATGTATTGATCATGGTTAGTTCATGTTAGTTAATACATTAACTGATGTTAACTAATGAACCTTATTGTAAAGTGTTACTCTATTTTTTTTCTGTATATTAACTTTAATACATTAATTGGATTAATTGTTCACCACAAGATTAGTAATATGCGCTAACAAAGTAAATAGGGTCAATTTTAAATTTCATGAAGTCTTTAAGCTTAAGCAATTTTAATACCTCAACTTAAACTAAACGAAATTTGAAAATTTGAAATTTGAAAAAATAAAATGTTTTTCTTTTTGTAAACATTTAATTTATTGCAACTCACATAAATGTTTTTTTTTTTAAGTATTTTTAGTTTTGTTTCTAACAGCACTGGTTGATGAGAAGTGTTTTGGTACGTTACCATTTTCACCTGCTGCACCATAAAATAGGTGAAAAAAAATCCCACAGACGTGCATTGAAGGAGGAAACCCAAACCAGACCAGAAGATCACAGAGATAGGAGTTTTCACACACGTTTTTAGAACATGTAAAGCCCTAGTTCTGTCGTGTTACTGAAGAAGCGTGTAGGACGTCTTACCTTATGAGACCTGTGGCGCAGCTCTGTTCTCTCTTGCCTGAGGGAATTCAAAGCTTTATCCTTTTCTTGTTCCATTTCCTTGAGCTGTTTTTCTAGTTGCTGGACTCGTTCCTGCAAGACAGCGACGTGACCATTAAACCATTTTCAGCATGCACAGAAACTTCATATGAAACTTACACATTCAGCAATAAGCCGAGGTCCGGTGTGTTAAGGACTCATGAACCATGGTTTGGTTTGTGTGGCACTGATGGCATATACTCAAAGAGAGAGAGGAGTCAAAGTCGGTGTGGTGCCGCCCACTCGGCACACTGAGCTGACAAGTCAGGGTCAGAGATCTGTCACACAGAGCAGCTGAGTCAATGAGCACTCATGCACTGCTCTGACACTCTCACCTTGAGCGCTGGCACGACGTGACAAAACTAGATCACTCCTATTATACTCAATGGACACTAGATGCTCCTGATGCGGATTTAACACGTGTACAGTTATTGGACAACCTGCTATTTTACCCCCCCATCTTGTTTTTTTTTAAAGAAGTCTCTCCTGCTCACCAAGGCTGCATTTATTGATAAAAAAATAAAGGTCCCACTTTATATTAAGTGGCTGTAAATACGATGCACTTACATTGAAATTAATAATTTGATACAATGGATTTTTTGTGTACATACATGTTTTCACATTGTACTCATATTGATGTAAGTACATAGTACTTAAAGCCACTTATTATAAAGTGGGACCAAAAATAAAAAACTGTAATATTGTGAAATATATTATGACAATTTAAAATGACTGTTTTCTATTTTAATATATTGTATTTTGAAATGTAATTTATTCCTCTGATGAAAGCTGAATTTGTAAAATATTCCTATGAATTTTTAGCATCATTACTCCAGTCTTCAGTCACATGATCCTTCAGAAATCGTTCTAATATGCTAATTTTATGCTAAAAAAATACTTTGTCAATGTGGAAAACTTTTTGAAAAGAAAGTTCAAAAGAATAGCATTTATTTAAAATATAATCTTTTGTAACATTCTAAATGTCTTTACTATAACTTTTGATCAATTTAACTCATCCTTGATGAATAAAAGTATTGATTTCTTTTATTTATTTCCCCCCAAAATAAAATGTTAATTCTTGGTGACCCCAAACTTTTGAAGGGTAGTGTTTAATATTACAAAAGCTGTCTATTTCAATAAATGCTGTTCTTTTGAACTTTCTATTCATCAAATAATCCTGAAATAAATAGTAAAAAACTGTTTTCAACATTGATAATAATCAAATGTTTCTTGAGCATCAAATCATCATATTAGAATTATTTCTGAAGGTTCATGTGCATACAGTAAAAAAAAGTAAAAATGTAAAAGATTATATTTAAAAATATTAATTTTAATAGCATTCATAATAATTAAAATTCATAAATATTATAATACAATGTAATTTCATATTAAATTACCATTTTTTAAATTGTTTATGTGCAATATATAATTACATTACATTAAATTGTAATGAATACTATTCAAATTAATTATTATTTTTAAATATTGTTCAAGTGCAATATATTTATTTTGTTAAATATGGACGAAAGCAGCTTATAAGAGCAGCACTGCAGACAGTCACCAAAGAACTCCATGTAACCCCATTCAATTCAATGTATCTCTCTCAGTCAGTCTAGTCTCTCTCTTTTGTGGCTGATGTCATTACCTTGTTTACTGCATCATGTGACTGTGTTTGGTCTGTCAGAGTTAGCAATAGTTAAACCCATGCTCAGTGTGGCAGTCTGGCTCTACTGATGACATAGCAGTCAATGAGAGTGTCCAGTTTTTAAAACATCGATGTTTAGTGTGAAGTTGACTCACAACTCTGATTTGGCAGGTATTGTGCAGCACTAAGTGTGATGTGCTCGTATAGTAATAAACATGAACTGTTAAGCAAATAAAATGATATAGGTTCTACAAGACAGGAGTATAAACCATGGTAAATGATCGTGTTCATGATGAGTTGATGTGTAATCTAGGTGCTTCTGTCAGATAAACTCACCTGAGATGTGTTGTGCATGTGCTGTACTCTGGTTATCTCTCGCTCTATGACCGTTTCACTTTCTCCATTATCTCCTTCTCGCTCATCTTCTACTCCGCTTTCCAGCTCAAGAATGTGAAACTCCATGTCTTCAAAAGCTCGCACTGTGGCTTCCAGCGCATCCTTGTCCTGAATACAAAACAAATACAGACAAAATACTTCAAAATCATAAGGGAGCAAGTCACCGTTCATGACAACACATGCAGACTAGATCTGTCAGTCGAGATTTTTATGCTTTTGTTTCTCTGCATCAAAAGTAATTGCAAAAATACTGACTTATAGCTTCAAAACAACACTCTTCCCATCTGTCATTGCTCAGTCAATCGGACTCACATGACTGGTTGAGTCAGAAGTCAGTGTCACATGATCCTTCAGAAATCTTTAAGTGTGTTCCATATGCTTACAAACCACTTTGATGTCATACCCCGATCAGTCTACACAGGTCGAACAGACCTATTCTAATATGCTGATATTATTATCAATGTTGAAAACGGTTGTACTGCTTCATATTTTTGAGGAAAGTAAGTACTTTTATTCAGAAGTGCTTTATAATGTTACAAAAGTTTCTACTTCAAATAAAAGCTGTTCATTCAAACTTTCTATTCATCAAAAAATCCCAAAAATATTACGCAGCAGAAACGGTTTTCAGTATTGATAATAAAAGCCATTATTAACGGGGACCTATTATGATTGTAGGCGGGGCTTGTTTCAATGTGACGTCACATGGTAGCCCGTTCCTAACTGGCTCATTTTGAGACAAAGTTTCAGATTTATGGGTAAAATAACAGAGTGGATGGATTTTTATCACAATAGGGTGGTAACACATAAATATGAGTTCAAGTGAATTTTGCATAACAGGTCACCTTTAATAATTGAACACCAATAATAACTGAGCAGCAAATTAGCATTTTAGAATTATTTCTGAAGACTGCAGTAATCATGCAGTTATCGACCACCCCTAGTTTGTCATCACCTTTTGCAGCTGAAGCAGCATTTGCTCCCGCTGGTCTTCTGGCTGTGAGGGAATCTGTTTCTCCATTTCCTCACACTTCATCTTCATCTCCTCCACCTTCACACGCTGCTCCTCCAGCTGAACACGATCCTGAAGGAAAGCACGTTTTCAGCTGTGTTTTTTACGAAATACGCATTTCATCTGTAAATCAAGCTGTGAACACATCAAATACAGACCTTCTGTCTGTTGGCCAAGCGCTGGCTCTTTCTTTGGCTGTCCTTCTCTTGCAACACCTGCAGGTGATCTGTGTGTCTGCGCAGTCGCTCCTGCTCTGCCTGCAGTTCCCCTCTCAGCAGAGCCACCTCCAGCTGCAGCTGCAGAAGAGCAAACACACGGGTCACTTTCACTGCACGCTGAGCTGCTGTTGGTGAGAACACACCTGTCCGCCGCTCACCTCAATCTTCAGCTCCTCCCTCTGCTGGTCGAGCTCTGTGATGCGCTGCTGCACCAGCGAGGGTGACGTCAAGAGCTTCGCTGAGTCTCCGTCTGCTCGTATGACCCGATACTGGTAAAGTGAAGAATGAGAGGCCGATGTGGTTAAAACGCAAGGCGAGTTGCAGGAATGATTATAAGATAAAAGAGCCTATTTGAATAATACTGGATAATGATATATAAATATATGAAATGTGAAATAAAACATTATCTGCTCTTCAGCTAAAAGAAGGCATCATAATATAAAATTAAAATACAAAAAATAATATAATCTAAAATCCTATCTAATTTTTGGCTAAGAGAAGACATCTTAGAAAGCAGCATAATATAAATTATGGTTTAATATATATAGTTACCTAAATAAGTACTGAGTAGTAATATTAATTAAATACATATACTAACTATAGAGTTAGGGCTTGTTACTTGTAATTACGCATAATTTACTGTGTAGTAACGTGCGAGTACGTCACCTTAAAATAAAGTGTTACCTAAAATACAAATATAAAAAAATATATATATATGAAGAGTTCAGATGCAAAAGCCTCTAAGTGCCATTTGAAATTTTCTTCTAAAATGATCATTTTTATCGAGCTTGTATATTTAAGTTCAGTAATTTCACTTAAATGGCAATGAAGATTACCTATTAATTGTCATTTAAGTGAAATTACTGAACTTAAATATACAAGCTTGATAAAAATGGTCATTTTAGAAGAAAATTTCAAATGGCATTTAGAGGCTTTTGCATCTGAACTCTTCATATATAAAATTATGTAAAACGCATCTACTCTTTGGTTAATATTAGGGCTGTGCAAAAGTTAATTGCGATTAATCGCATCCAAAATAAAAGTCTGTGTTTACATAGTATATTTGTGTGTGCTGTATATAATTATTTTGTATATATAAATAGACACACATGCATGTATATGTTTAAGAAAATGTGTTATTCCTATATAAAATATTTATATTTATATAATATAGATTATGTATTTATATATATATACAGAATTCAAGCGCAAATAATTCTTAAATAGATACATGCATGCATAGGTATTTATATATACAAAATAATTATATACAGCACACTCAAATATATTATGTAAAACAGACTTTTATTTTGGATGCGATTAATCGCAATTAACTTTTGCACAGCCCTAGTTAATATAAAATATTATATAATAATAAAAGAATATATCTATATTTTTTCTGCTCTTTGGCTAAAAGAAGGCATGTTAGAAGACAGTATAATACAAAATATACATTTGAAATAGGGATGCAAATTATCGATTAATTCATTTGATCAACCTTTTCGATCGATTAACGATTAACTGATAAGCGGCTATTTTCCTGAGAATGTAAATTTCTCACAGTATCAATTTAACAAAAAGCAAAATATTCCGGGAGAAAGTGCTAAAAAAAAGGAAAAACGGGGGTGTTGACAGGTATGAGCTAAGTTATTGTTAGAATACAGCTGGGTTTTCGAGGTTAGCATGCTGTATAGCTAGTAGTCAATATCGATGCACTCCACTCCGTTTTGACCGCCTCATGTTTGTGTCGGCTCTCTCGCGTGAGAATCTCGTGTCAAGTACGTAATGTTCAATTAGCCGACAATTAATTTATTTTAATCGAGTAAATTCTAGTTGACAATTAATCGATAATCGATTAACCGTTTGCATCCCTAATTTAAAATGGAAGGCAGCATAACATTTACCTGTTCGCTCTCTGTGCTGCTGCCCTCTGTGTCTGACTCCGCCCCTGAAGAGGCGGGGCTTTGCTCCACAGCCACTCGCATGATCCACGGGGATTTTCGGACAGGCTCCCATTGGCTCCTCTGTGTATCCATATTGTGTCTGGGCATGTCTAATTAGACAGGAGTGGGGACTAGTTAAGTTTGTAGGGTATGGGACTTTTACAGTAATTCAGTCTGGCTCATGGGAGGCTGCAAACAAGGGTCAAATTACAGATGCTCAATCTAACATGCATTGACCATGGTGAAAGTGAAATCCTGTCCTAAAAAGATGCACATGACTGGTAACCAGCTTATGTTGAAAAGGCTGTGAAGATGAAAGACACTAGATCAATGCCATTGTAGCTTGTTCAGGTGTTTTTTACACAATACCATACAACAAGGCCACAGTTCACTGTAAATGGGCTCTGTGTGTTCATTGAAGCTTTTGTATTTGCCGGTCTGTGAGCTTTAGTTCTCTCCACACCGTATCGCCCTCTTACGCTCTTAACGTCACATCTGACAAAGCTGAGTGTGGGAACAGACTCTTGCTACGGCATTGTCCAAACCCATTCCCACCCTCTCTCTGCCCTGTCCATCAGTCCTGCCCATGCCAAAGCCTTATTAGGATTCAGAGAACTGGAGCCACAAGGATAAATATAAAACTCCGATATGAGGAGGTCCAAACTCAGACTGGCACACAGAGAGTTCTGGAGGAGGAAGTGGCTTCTGAAATGTCACAGGCCGGTTTCATATTTCCACAGAGAGAGAGAGAGAGAGAGACTGGAGTCCTAGATTAACCACAGCCTCATAAAGCAGACAAACACAATAGCTTGTTTAAACACGAATTTAGCTTAGCCCTTCATGACAAAAGCAGGTTTTTTACTACATGTACTGTATAGGACTGCCTTCTCTGCAAAGGATACATGCAATGCAGCCTTACAATTTAACTAAAAGTCTTAGATGGCAGGCTAAGATAAAACATCAATTCAAGATAACATTATGAAATAATTATCAGGTACAATATATATAAATATTATAAAATAAAATTCTATCAGCTCTTTGGCTGGAAGGCATCTTATAAGACAGCATAATATATACTATAAATATTAAATAACATATAAATAATTAAATAATAATATAGTAATTAATTAATGCATTATATATATATATATATATATATATAATAAAGTAACATAAAATGTGAAATAAAATCTAATCTGCTCTTTGGCAGCATAATATAAAAACAAATATATACAAAATAATATATAAAATAATAGAAAATCTTTTCTACTCTTTGGCTAAAAGAAAGCATCTTATAAGACAGCATAATATATAATATAAATATTAAATAATATATAAATGATTAAATAATAATATAGTAAATAATTAATGTATTTTATATATATATATATATACATATAAAATGTGAAATAAAATCGAATCTGCTCTATATAAAGCATAATATAAAATACAAATATATACAAAAATAATACAAAAACTTTTCTACTCTTTGGCTAAAAGAAAGCATCCCATAAGGCAGCATAATATACAATATAGATATAAATATATAAAATAATATAAAATCTCATCTGCTCTTGGACTAAAAGAAGGCATTTTATTTTAACATAAAACATCTTACCACAAAAAGCTGCCTATGCATGCAGACAGCTCTAGGTGTTATAAAAACCAAGCCAGATTTGTCCTGGCTGTTAAGTCTAATTTGGTTAACGCCAACAAGCCTAAACACAATCTTATCTGCCCTTTATCTAAAATCCAACTTAGAGGAGTGAGCAGTATTCATGTAAGGTTTGAAGTCCAGAAAAACAACAAAGTGAAAATACAGATGTGAAAGTTCTGGGTCGCTGTGATACACTTACAAAAGACACAAGAAACCCAAGAGTGAAAGTAATGGAAAAGAGCAACAGGTACAATAGCAAACGGGTGAAACAAACGGGTGTAATGAGTGAATAATCATTTCTAATTGCAGAGGAGTGCCACAAACATCCTGTTATATAACCCGCACCCCTCCTGGTCATTACTAACACCGCTGATGAGTCCAACTCTGTTCTTCACACTGACTTACTAATCATTTCTCCTTGACTCGGCAGTAACTCGCCACCGACCCATGCACATTCCTTCCATGCTTCTTTACAGCAAATAGTGTCAGTGTTGTGTGTGTGCTCCGTCCGTATTGTGTTGCGGACTGTATGTAAACAAAATATCTTCCACATCCTGCCACAAAACCCAAAATTCATACGACATGACTCGATTGCGCTCCACCAAATCTTCTTGCATAACCAGTTTAGATAAAACCCAGAAGAAAAACCTTTACTGTGGAGCACGAGAAAAGCTGCTATATAAGCTTCTGTCAGGCACTTCATATATAGAACCATCATGGGATCATTTTATGGATTTAGTTCATTAATTCGAATTAATTCTTAAACCGCTCGTAAACATATTAGGGTTCTATGTAGACTAGAGCCACAACAAACCTTTTTTTCTAAGAGTGATCCATCCATGGTAGTGAATTAATACTTCCAACTGGAAATTCTACATCGTTTTACTTGGTAGTTTAAGGGTGTGTTCACACTTGGCATGTTTGGTTGGGTTAAAACGAACCCTGGTGCGATTGCTCTGTTAGTGCGGTTCATTTGAATAAGTGTGAACGCTGACATTTAAACCTTGGTGCACCAAACAAGGACCGAGACGCTGAAAACGAGTCGCGTTCCATACGAACTGTGGTGAAATATGAATGCAACATGGACCAAAGACATCTAAATGAACCAAAAACAGGACATGATGTCACATGAGACCCTAAAAAGGACAGAATGCTCAAGCATACCTGTTTTTTTCTCGTCATAGTCGCGGTGTTGCTTATTACAGTTCGGTACAGCATCAGAACCACGTCCCCTCGCAGCAGATCTTTGTTTGTGTGTGTGACGGAGGAATTCCTGACACTGTTTTGACTCCTTTACACATTTTATAAGCTCTTCATGAGTTCTCAGCTGGTCAAAATACATCATGACATAGTCGTAATAAAAGCCAGCCAATCAGGTTGTGATTGTGAACATATCCCTATGCCTTTAAGTTAGGTATCTTTAGGTTCGGTGTTAAAATGCCAATGTGAATGCTAAGTGGACCAGGACTAAATGTTTTATTTTTTATTCTTTGGTACGGAGCAAACAAACCAAGCAAACCGAACTACAAGTGTGAACACAACACACACAGACTATCATGATACTAAAATGGCTAATGTCCAAATATTAAGGTATTATCATGGTTTTTTTCCAAAATTTTTTAAAAATACCACAATATTGCCATGGCAAATGCCCAAATATCATGTACTACCTTCCCCAAATGATACAAATTACATTGTACTCCGAGGTACATGAAATACTATAGTACTATCGTGGTACAAAGAAATCTGATAATACAAATGCATAGTTCGTTTTCTGCAGATACTCTGAAAACAAAATTGGTGTAGGATTTACTTCTAAACAATTTTCACTCTGAAATTGTATTTTCTTTAGTTTCATTTACAAAACCATTTTTTACAGTGTAATTGTAACTGTAAAATTGCAACTTGTTTATTAAAGTAGATTACCATTATTACAGATGCATGTGTATTTGGTATATCTTACCTGTACAAAGCCGTTTCTGGCGTAAAGCTGGTCTCAGGACAGCATTCCTCACGCCGACTGCTCAAACTAAACAACAAATACAACATTAATGTTCAACACGCCTTGTTATAATTACAGGTGCAACTCAACATATTTCAGTGCAACACTCATGAAATATAGCTGAACGGCGCAGGACGCCCAGATGATCTGGATGTTTACTCAGATGTGAGCCGTCTTCCCTGCATATGTTGTCATCACTTATGTCTGTGACCGTAACAAAGTGTTTGCTGCTGTAGTTTATCATAAACCAAACAAAGAGATATCAGCAACTAACACACTGATGAGGTCAGTGTTCATTGAGATTGACCTCACACACAGGCCCTGAAGTAGCCTTGACTCACTGATTGTTCATTTCGTTATTCAAATAAAGAGATTTGATGGACTGAATTGTAGAGTTTGTGATACTGTTTATTCTCAGGGGTTTTCAATCTTCCGATGCCGTTGACCCTCAAATATGATCATCCCCGTGAAAGGGACCCCCATTCTAATATTTAAAAAGGCAGCTATAATTTCACGTGTAAAGTCTGAACTTACACTAAAAATAATAATATAATGATAATAAAACAAATAAGTCTAATATATCCTTTAGAAAATAAATATTTAGTTTCTATTATGTTAAATTATAACGTTTTTTTTCCTACTCACTATAGTAATGTAGATGTTTTATTTATCAGAATAATTTGTATTTAATTTAATAAATTTTAAAATCTATTTTAATAATTTCTTATTTTTTTTTTATTATATTTATTTATTTTTTACATTTTTCTCAAACTTTTTCCTGTGACCCAGTTTGAAATTCCCTGTTGTACAGCGGATATAATGCTGGTTACATATCCTAATAATGACAGCAAATGACATGTAGGCCTATACAAATAATACTTGTGATACATTATATTTTCTCTAAATTCACTTCAATGTGAAAACATCCGTTATTAAGCCAGATGAACAGTAAACAAAAATATTTCATAACTTGCATACATAAATACAATTCTGTTGACTGATTATAAAGCTATATATCACAGTATGTTTTATTTACTCCTAGGAACCATGGTAGTGCCATATTTAATTTTATTTCATGGTAAGTTAGTAACGTGAACATATTTCATGCCTCTCCTAAAACTGTCATTCAGGTTCTCCACTATTTCAAACACACACCCACAGATACACACTGCCAAACGTTACTTGATCCCTGTCAATCAATGCTTCTATCAATAATAAAATCTCTAAATCTGAAGTATGACTTAATACGTAATTTCAAGAGAAAGTTAATCGCGCCAATGTTATCGATACATTCATATAGGCTAACTATATTACGTGAATTGTACCGATTCATACCTGTCCAGAACTTCCGCGTCAAATCCCTCAACGGTCCTGGGTTATTAAAAAAACGACAAAATATCGAGACAACAGTGATGAATAAACTCCGTGCTGGGGGATTTAAACAGGCTTTTCCCGTAACAACAAGATACGATATGACCAGCGGGATTTCCAACTTTCACTCAGCCGTTGTAGAGAGAGAGTGAGAGAGTTTCGGCGAGTCTCTGGCCGCGTCTCAAACCTAATGTGACGCCTACGTAAACAGCGTGTGGGCGGCGCGTTGGAGTTCGCTGGCTAACGCGCACGTGACGCTCAATCCCGCTGTCTGTACAGTCGACTCACTAGGGTTTGAAGCACAGCCCATAATGTCAGCTGAATGTGACCGTCAACAGGTGAAGCAACAGTGCTTTTAATGACACTTCAGATTCTATTAAACAATCAAAATATAAGTAGGCCTATGTTATATTGGGAAGAAGTATACACTAAACTTGGTTAAGGTATTAAAATGACATAATTAAAGGCTAAATAAGGAAAAATTACCTGGTATAAGGCAAACTTATTGTGCAAAAAAGAACCGCACAGGCAAAGTACATTGACTATGTAATCAGTTATTAATATTGTGTCGGCTCTCCCTTGTTTTTGATTACCTCAGCTCAGCTATTATCCTGAGTTGACTCGCTAAACTGTGCATGTGTCATTTTTTAACTTCTTTCCAATCCTCAAGTTTGAGCTTCATTGGAAGACCTGCATGACACCATGGTTTATTATTTCCGAAAGGTTTTCAATGGCTTTAAGGTCAGGAGACTGAGGAAGACTGCAAAATACTGAGCATTGTCATTGCACACAACTTTGTTGCATGCACAGTGTGTTTGGGATAATCATGTTGGAAATACATATTCTCCATACTTCATTGTGTTCAGCAGGATTCCCACGAGGATTCCCAAGTATTCGTCCATTTTCAAAGTGCAAGCGACAACATTATGGATCCTTCCAACACCTGCTGCAGACATGTGCCCTAAACAGCATTGTTTCCCCTTAGCACGCATGTATTTGGTATTAAAACACTCCATTCGTCTACCACGAACATATATCCAACACCGTCCATTGCTAAGTTGCTAAATTTGGACTGCAGAAAAAGGCTCCAATCTTTCACACTCCAATATGTTCTTTTGCAAATGAAAGGTGTTTTTTTGCAGTAGATAAGACTAATTAATGGTTTCTTTACTGGTACACATCCTCTAAATCCAGCCAATGGCTTACCGTACAAGATGAAATCGGAGGTTTCCGACGATTTTAATCGTATTTTTTGTCTGGAAAAAATCCTCCGATGACGCAAAAATCGTCATTTTGCGTCATCGGACGATTTTTTTGGCCAGAGGCTAAAGAATACAGTCAACAGTAGGGTCCCGCATGTGATCTCACTCACAGAATGAACACATAGTGTCGGCCATCTTTTTTTGGAAGATAAGCTAGCAGGCTCTTGTTCTGTGGAGAAAGCTGAGTAGTAGGGGTTACCATCCTCTTTTTCCCGGACATGTCCGGCCGTCGATGTCCGGGATTCAGCTTTTGCTTTCTGCAGTCGCCATTCATTGTTTACATGCACAGCTTTTGTTTCAATCTGACTGAATTCATTCCGATTGGTGGATCTGAATGTAGTGTTTACGTGAACGCTAAACAAGTGATCGGTTGATGTGCGTTTTAACATCGCTAAGAAAATTCCCGCTCCTCCGTGAGAGATACGAGACCGGTGCGTCTCACAGGTGTCGCTCATCGCTAATTACGCCACCGGCCTTGCGCCGTTCTTTTCTCAGTCTAGAAAGCTCCAAATTCAAAGCTAATTTCTCATTTCTTCTACATAAATGACCCATTTTAAATACACATTCATCTTTCCAGAGGTGAATGGATAAAATATTCAAAATATAATATTCAAGAGTTAGTTGGTTTGTGTCTCTTTAAAACATTCACACAAATCAATCATTTCAAAATAGGCTTGAAAATATGACATAATTTGAGGTAATGATGTTAATTAATACAGATGAAGAGTGTTTGACCTGAGCAGATTTCACATAAAATATTCAAAAGGCACTGCTTATGAGGAATGACCCCTAATTGTTGCTCAGTTCACTTCTGAGGGACGTGACGTGACAAAGACAGTGTGACTTTCACATCACGACAGTCAAGAGTCCGGAGCGACTGCTGGGGTCATAAATCTCAAGTGTAAGTGCGCATGATATTAGTCTCAGTGCCACACAGACAGAAAGAAAGAAAGAGATGCGTATAAAAGCTGAGACAAAACACAGAACAGATGGAGGGCAGTAAGACAAGGACATCTGGCTCTTTTGTGCACTAAAGTGTCTTCCTCCTGCACACAACATACTGTCAGAGACATTCAAATCTTATACCTTGGCTTGCAGCAAAAGAACCTCATTTGGCAAACGCAGGCGAGACTATCAAGAATTTAGTGACTGCCTTTATGTGACAGTTTTTGTTTCACTATTATTCACACTCCCACTGTTACACAATAAAAGGCTTGTTATTTTCCTGCCGAAGCACATCTGTTGGCTTCCTGGCATTGAGCTGCTTCTACATAAAGGGCACTAGGAGTGTTGAGTGCTGTAAGCTTGATATAACGCAGGTAACTGCACAACACTCACTCCTTTAGAGGTCAAGTGTGAAGCACTAAAACAGAACTGCTAAAATAGTCATTGCTGTCAGTTAAAATACTGTCCCTGCCTGCCATTAGTCAAGTCACAGAGATAGCTCCGCCCCAAATGCACACTATTGGCTGAGCCAGTGTTTTGCCACACCCACCCAGGACAATGAAACAAATTGATTTCGGGTCAATAAAAGCGTTTTCACCATGATTTAAACGCACAATTAAGACTTTTTTCCTCCGAATTTCGACTTTACATCTCAGAATTGTGCCTTTAAGCAAGCCTTTAATTGCCTTTTTTAATTGTGTAAAAACCCCGGAAATCTGTTGTTTTTTTGTTTTTGTTTTTCACCATGGATACACATATAAAAAAGGTAGGCTAATGGGCTATATGCACGCATAAGTTCCGCATTTGACGTAAGGATGCTCGTCCATTTCCGGTTGTGTAGATTAAAGCGGAGGAAAACCGGAGAAAACGATTATGGCAGAGTCTTCAATATATACTGTCCTCCCGTCTTTGAAACGAAACGTACATACGTTTAGATGTATTTTTATATATAGTTATGTTTATTTAATATAATTTTAAAAAGAAGCATAAACACAACGAGGGGTGTCTGTTTTATCTGTTTTTGTGACTAACGTTTCATTAGTATAACCATGGAGTATAAAATTCAATATAAATTCTCGGTATTGCATTGGACTCTATGATCGGCGGAAGTTATCGAGGAAGTTAATCCTTCACCGGAAATAACGCCGTGCATAGAGCCCATTGTGATTTCGCAAAAAAAAAAAAAAAGACTTCTTTTCTCACAAATGCAAGTTATGAACTCATAATTGTGAGTTTATATCGTAATTATGACTTTTTTCCTGAATTCAACCCCCCCCCCCCGTTTCTGCTACAGAATAAAACTGAAAAAGGTAATTGCGATTTTACACTTCTTACTTTTTCTCGTAATGTTACTTTATATCACAATTCTGAAAAAATAAGAACTGTGAGAAAATTGTGAGTGAGATAATTAAAAAGTCGCAATTAAAGTCAATTACTTTTAGTTTTATTCCGTCGTGGAAACAACCTTTTATAAGAATGGAAGTTTGTTTCCGCCACAGTATGAAAAATAAAAAAAGGTAATTTCGACTTTTTAAGTCGAAAAAAAGTCGATAAAGTCAAAATTGCGAGATATAAAGTCGTAATTGTGTGTTATAAAGTCAGAATTGCGAGATATAAAGTCGTAATTGCGTGTTATAAAGTCAGAAATGTGAGATAAACTATTCTAAGGGGGAAAAAAGTTATTCTTTTTTCCCTTGGAATTGGCCTGATAACTCGCAATTGCGAGTTATATCTCACAATTCTGAGAAAAGATGTCAGAATTTCGAGATATAAACTCGCAATTATGTGTTATAAAGTCAGAATTGTGAGATGTAAACTGGTAATTGTGAGAAAAAGTCAGAATTGTGAGATAAAAAGTCGAATTGCGACTTAATCACAGAATTCTGACTTTATATCTCACAATTCTGACTTTATAATACAGAATTACAACTTTATTTCTCACAATTCTGACTTTATATCTCGCAATTGTGAGATAAAAAGTCGCAATTATTTATTTATTTTTTTTGTATTCAGTGGTGGCAACAAGCTTCCATACATAAGAGCTTGATCTGCTATGAAATTTGAAACTGCCTCCAAAAAGAACATTAATTGAACCTAAACTGCAAAAACAGCCCGGAAACCCAAACAATTGTCCACATTTATACGTCAATGACGCAGAGTGGGTGAGCAGAAACATCACCTGTCTGGACGTCCCACACCTGAATACTCAGAAAAGACTGAAAGTCAGAAGATCAAACTAACAGCATCACAGTAATCTGAGTGTGAAGCACTGATATACTAATGCAAATGACACTGTTTTGAAGACGAGACTTTCAGGCTGTGGATGAACTTTCAGCCCATTTCACTTGCAAATCACCTTGTTTTTCTCGTCTGTCCTGACGGTAAAGGCATTTGTGGAAATGCAACATCCAGGGCGTTTGTATAAGTGACAAAACCCCCAAAAGAGCCAACAAATATGCATGACGCAGCTGTGGATTGACCTAACATTTATTAAAAACAGATTAAATATGAAGAGTTCAGATGCAAAAGTCTCTAAATGCCATTTGAAATTTTCTTCTTTAATGATGATTTTTATCAAGCTTGTATATTTAAGTTCAGTGATATCACTTAAATGGCAATGATAATTACCTATTAATTGTTATTTAAGTGAAATTACTGAACTTAAACATACAAGTTTGATAAAAATCATCATTAAAGAAGAAAATTTCAAATGGCATTTAGAGGCTTTTGCATCTGAACTCTTCATATATACATTTTAGAGTTTTATCACAAAATATATCATAAGATGAGTACTACAACCTTTTACATTACAAATGAGAGCTGCAGCACTTGATCATTTAAAGCATTTAAAATAAAAAAATCATGAAAGTGAACCAGAACATAATTTCTCTGAATGAGATATTATATGATTCAGAAGTATTCAGGCCAAAGTATTGTTTGAAATTCAGAAGAAAAAAACAAATACTGACCATAATGAAAATGTAATTGTTTCATATTTCATTGTTCTGGTTCATCTTGCTCTGCTTACCCTGAATCACAGGAATTATTAAATACAAATATCATCTTCTCACTGAATGTAGTTTATATTTTTGAAAGTCAGAAGAGAGAAAAACAAACAAAAAAACAAAACGGTAACACTTTACAATAAGATTCATTAGTTAACTACATTAGTTAACATTAACAAAGAATTAACAATACTTCTTCAGCATTTGTTAATCTTTGTTAATGTTCATTTCAATATTTACTAATATTTTATTAAAATCTTGTTAACATTAGTTAATGAACTGTGCACTAACATGAACAAACAAGGTTAGTTCATGTTAGTTGATGCATTAACTAATGTTTAATTAATGAACCTTATTGTAAAGTGTTACCAAAAAAACAAATACTGACCATAATGAAAATGTAATCGTTTGATATTTCATTGTTCTGGTTCATCTTGCTCTGCTTACCCTGAATCACAGGAATTATTAAATACAAATATCATCTTCTCACTGAATGTAGTTTATATTTATATGCACTGTAAAATTCAAATAAGTTCATGTTAGCTTTCACATTCAAATATCATGAAGTCCACACACCAAGTTTGCAGGCACTGATATATCTGTGGGTTTAAGAACAAAACATGAGGACTTTTAGTTAATACAATAATGTTCAAAGAACACAATTTTAGTCCTCATTTCCCATCAAAGAAGCTTCAAACACACTCGATATGAGCAAAACAACACACCCTGTCAAACCTGACCCAACCACCTTAGTCATAATGACTTTAATGACTGATAGACACCATATGTTTTCACTCATTCCATTATAACGGACCCCTACGGCACCTTTGCAGGGATAGTTCAATAAAATAAATAAATTCATCATCATTTACTCATTTGCATGTTGCTCAAATCTGAATTACTTTATTGTCGTAGAAGATAAAAGAAGAATCGGGTTTGACAGCCAAAAACATGTGAAAATGTAAATGAGCACTGTAACCTGCGTCTGTCTGTTCATCACACAAAATATCACATGACTTGGAATATAGTGTCAGGCTGCGGTTACAAGAGGTAAAAACGATTTAAATACTGTTTGTTTTCTCACAGAACCTGCTTGTTTCGTGTCTTAGGCCATCAATGTGTACTTACATTTACGAGTCATTAAATCATGTTTAATTTGGACTTCTCTGTGCATGCTCTTTGAGGTGGTGACCATAGACCTCCATTATATGACTGACAGACAAGAACGGTTTGAAATAAAATATCAAATATTGATTTTTTTAGTTTTGAATGCAATAATTGCCATTTTTTGTACACTATTCATGTTGTTACCACTATTCCAGAGGGCGGATACGCGCAGGTGTTTTAATATTTATAGCTCTTAAAACAATAAAGGCTTTTTATAATTTGTGTTTTATTGAGTTTTGAACGCCACTGTTACATTGTAGTCAACTTTACAATTGACATCTTAACATATATACTGTGTAGTAATGATACATTTCTGAACAAAAAAACTAAAAGCGATAAAGTCAGAAGAGGTGATACAAATCAAATAGAAAAAAACATTAAAAAATAGAATTTTTTGCATTATTAGTATTAGTATTTTCCCCATTTCACAATAAAGGCTTTTTAACTTTTGCATCCTACTGAGTGACTTAAATTTGTCCAAGTCTATTTTAATTATATTCAAATAGAAAACATTTATTTTAAATTTTAAATGTATTTCAATGATATATCTTTATATATAAAGTTTATATATATATATATATAAAATGCACATATAAAACGGTGTAACGGTTGTAAATGCAGCATAAAGAAACTGATACTCTACCTATTTTCTTAGGATTGGGGAGATTGAGGTTGTTCATGATGTTCACAAACTCGTCCAGTGTCTTTGTCAGCCGTGGATTAAACTTCTTTTCCTCATCTACGGTGGACACAGTCTGACCTTCAGCGTTCAGAGAGGATCAAACCAACATGAGAAGAAATAATGCACAAAACACCAAAGAGAAAGTTAAATATCCTTAGTAATTAGTTGTTTAATTGTTTAAAATTGGTGTCTATTATCAGATGACTCAATAGACTCTAAAAGCAGCGGTTTCCACAGTTAAAGTGCTTTTAGACTTTAGTTTCCTGAGGTAAATTGACTTTAACACACAGTGACTCAGAGTTTAATGCTGTAATTGACGTACCCTTGTAGTCGTGTGCGGGGTAGATGAAACAATGTGCAGGCAGGGTGAAAATCTTCTTATGGATGGACTCGTACAATCTCTTTGGACTACCTGAGTGAAGACAGAAGAGGAGCTTTACTGTCTCGCCATCATGTGGCCATTGGAAGTACTACAAAAACAAAGGCAACAGCTATCAGGGTTAGATGATATTGTGAATATTCACTAAATATTTACCATGATATACTTTTTTTCACATGAAATTCATTGATTTTATTCTGCTTTTTATTTGGGTATTACATTTTCTAACTTGACCACCTTCACAATCAACGTAGGCAGATATTGGCGTTTATAACCGTGTTGTTATATTGGTGCATTTAAATGTAAATATTAAACCTAATTCTTTCTTGTGAACATATTGACATGAAAATATTATTATGACCTATAATGCTTTTTACATTTTCATCTTTCTCACTTGTTTCTAAACTCCGTGAAATGCCTCCATTGTAGTCTTCAGTTTTTTTTCCCAGGTATAAACACATCATAATATTTCTAATTTGAATCATTTCAGCCCAAGGCATACGCAAATAAAGGGGCGGGGCCTAGTTGAGTTAGTTAATAGTGTGTTAACTTGTGGTAATGGTAAGGGGCGTGACATGCTCAAAGCAGCTGACCAATCACAACACACCATTCCAGTCAACCAATCAGAGCATATTGAGCTTTGAGAAGGAGGGGCCTCATAGAGACACTGACATTGATACTACTGACAAACTGGGAAGAGAAATTGAGCAACAATGTCAAATATATGAAAAATACTGTGTTTACTGAACATCAAAGCATGAAAATACAGGGGTTGGACAATGAAACTGAAACACTGGCCAATGTTGGAGGTTTCACATCTATATGCCTGGCGGCCAATCTTCAGAGTGAAGCACGGGTGGATCAGTGATGGTTTGAGCTCCAATATCATGACAATCCTGATTGTATTTGATGGACACGACACTGCCGAGGACTACCAAACCCTTCTGGAGGATCATGAGCACCTGATGCTCAAACCGTGTATCAGCATGATCATGCACCAACACACACAGCAAGACTTGTGACAGAAGGGTTTGATGAAGATGAAAGTGACGTTGAACATCTCCCATGGTCTGCACAGTCACCAGATCTGAATATTATTGAGGTGTTTTGGAGGAGCGAGTCCACCAGCATCATATAGTGACCTGGACACTGTTCTGGAAGAGGAACGGCTCATAATCCCTCTGGTCACTGTGAAGGACTTCTATCTGTCAATTGGTGCTGTATTTGGATGCAAAACGAGGCCCTCACCATTCTAACAAATTATTGTGTAGTAAAACCAGGTGTTTCAGTTTTTTTGTCCAACCCCTGTATATTCTAGTTAGAGGTCAAAGACAAAATCAAGACTGAATCTCCACAATGAGATTTGCTCAATCAATACTGTATTTCCGTAATCCTAACACTTCCGTTACCTTGCTGAAAGTCTGTCCGTCCGCAGCCCCGGATGAGGATGGCGTCACCAGTGAAGGCCATTCTCTGATCTCCAGTGACGTACGTCACACATCCATCTGTGTGTCCCGGGGTCTCTCGCACGGTTAGACACTGAAACAGACCAAAAGCCAAAGTTCGGAAAAGAGTAATAATCTTATCAGCACTTTATTTATTATCTAACCTGTTCAACTCTCACTGACTATGATAAGCATAATAACAACGCTGTAAAACACCAATACAGCCAATATGTGTTCTTCTTCACATTGTCATTAAAATAGATTACACAAATGAACCTGTTCATGATCCTGAGTGGATTGTAAGGTTTAGCGCATTGTCGTGATCACTTGCAATATTAAATTAT